AATTTTGCCAATATATTAGTAATTACCTGCGAACAGAGGATACACCAAATTTGTCCGAGATTTATTGCTAGAAATATAATTACTTTATTTTATAAATTTTGAATTCTTCCTTTCTGTGTATTAGATCTCGATATTTGGGGCATCATTACACTTGAACTCTAAGCAATGAAAAACTAAAAATGTGTGAAGCATAATGTAAAATCATAAAAACTACTGAACCGGTATAGGAAAAGAAAAGACTTTTCTTCGTTTTTCCTATAGAATTCTTTGAGGATAAGGAAATCCTAAACTGAGTGCATATTCAGTATGTGAAAATTCTGAAGTATTTATATGCTTATGTAAAGAGGGAATACTTTAAATGCAAGGTTCGCCATCAAGGCTTCAAGGACAAGTTTTGCACTCTCTAGCTGTAATACTAAAATATCAGCCGGTTTAATAAATATAACTTTTAAAAGATACAGCTATGCTTATACTCCATGCATAATTATCAAAATTCATTCGCCAGTGAAAGAGAGGGAATTAAACAATCAGTATTTTTACCTTCTATTTTTCTAAGTATATAAAATTATGAAGAGATAAATTACAGTAACTCAGCGCCTAAAATATTTACTGTAAGGTTTTCATTAAAAATAATAAGCATTGCGTAAACTAAACTAATTTAATAATACATGTTACAAAAGTGATACTTATTTATTATCTTTAATATTTCATTATAAAATCTTGAATCATTTTTAATACACTATACAAAAAAATTAGCATTAAATTTAGCAAATAAAATATTATTAGCAAAATGCTTGACAAGTAATTATTACTAATAATTTTTACAGTGGTATATATTTGGCATTAATTACATTAATTCGGAACTTTGAATAAAAGCTATGGATAGTGAAAACTTTATCCGTAATCACTTCGAAAATTTAGATCACTGATGAGCGTTTTACTTCCTAAAAAAATTTCATCCCGAGAAAGGAAATATGTTGGATTACGAAACTGTCTAAGATTTATAATGACGTTCGAAGTTTTTTTTCGGGATTTTAAAATGATTGTACATCTAAGTAAAGAATTTTGACGTTAAATATTTCAACTCTAAAATGTAAGGAATTTTCAACTATGAAAGGCATGCCGCCCAGACCGTCCTTAACTATTATACTGTATCCAAGGGCCTGGGCTCGAAGCCCGAAGAAGGCATGCTTGTAACTTCATACGAGGCAATAGTTGCCTATTAGGTGCCTCCCCAATAAAATGGCCACTACTTCCAGCCTTAGGAGTGGCCAATGCTAAATAGGTTAGTGAAAGGCAATTTGATGTCGATCGGTGTCAAAACTAAGAGAATATTTAAATTTCAAAATGAATTCCAAATATACACATAGGTTGTTTTAAGAGCATATTAAATCCTACAAGTTTCTAATAAAAATACTACCCTCTTGAAAAATATGCAAGAATGGAATAAAAATAAGAATCACAGCCACCCACATAATTTTCAGAGATAAATACTTGCAAAAACGTATAGAGTGCTTTTCAATATGTTAAATATTTTGTTATCAGTCAGTCAGTTTTGCAGCGTTGCCAGTGTCCTTATGAAGTTTCAGTTATTATACAGGCTTGCATAACGTACATGCAATAAACTTTCTAATCATTGAAATTTATTTTTCATAAATGTGCTCTGAACATAAGCGTGTGCAGAAAAGTTTCGAGGAAAACTAAAATTTTTATTTCATCTTTTAATTGGGTATTCACAAGTAGATTATAAAATACAATATTGTCTGATTGAAATCACATTTACCGTGTATATATTTTACCAGCTTCAATGCAAAATACATATTTTACTTGATTCTCGTGGCCCCATATGCGTCATTCCCCCCAAATATTAGTTAGACTAAAATCTAACAAAAATTTAGTACTAAAAGTTAAATTAATTTCGCTCATGAAAACTGAAATTCGTTACACTATACCTTCAGTAGTTAACAGCATGTTTATGATACTAAGGGAACTGGTAAAAAATAGCTAGTCCTCCCCTTGCGTCAACAAACTTCGCATTCCTTCCATTTGCGAGAAAATCCGATTACACTCGAATGGGATGCGGTTTATAGGTAAAATTATATTCCTTTTAATGCTTTTGAAAGTTAAGTAAAAACATATTTGCAGATGTTAATATGTAAGATGTTAGAGGATTAACCTAGTTTTTGAGTATATTGATGGCCTGCCACTGTATGTTTTATAAATAAGACTTGCTACAGATCCATCTTTTACCGTTTCACCCTTTGCTCGAAATTATGCCGTTTAACTTTCCATAATTTCTCTAACTCCTACTGAAGATTCTACTTTACTTTCTTATCCTCTGTGCAAAACTTTCATTGCTTGAGACAAGTAATGTAAATTTTCGTTAACATATTTTTATACTTCTTAATTTTGGACGCAGTGTAAGGGAAAACAATCAAGATTACTTCGTGTAATTTAGCTAAAAGGTATCTGTCTAAACAATAATTTACGTTGCAGTTGTTAACAAATAGCTTAAATTCCACCTCGTTTTTGTCTTCTACTTTAGTTACTCACTTCTAAACAGTTTAATATACATGTATATATATAAAGAGAGAGAGAAATAAAGATGTTGTAATGTTAAAGTTGTAAAGCTGATAGCTGTAATGCTAAAACTTTACATTTCTTGAGGTTAGTTCCTTTAGAAAAGAGTAGTTGGTTTTAGTAAGTTTTGTATGAAGTATACCTACTTTTAAGAAGATAGCTTACTTTACTTTAAGGAGACTGCTTTCTAAATAATCCATGAGTAAATAAACCAATCCATTTCAGTCCTTAGTGTTAAAGTTAAATTCAACTTCTTCAATTTAAAAGTACAAGCTACCTTATTTTATTTATCTCTAAAACAAAAGGATAATTAGGACAAATTCCAGACGAACATATTCATTAATCACTAATCTATCTGAATCCAAGTATCACACCACCCCACGCGGGCATAAATCTTGAATCTACATAAATGAAGAATCACTACTTTCTATTTTCTTAAAGAAAAGTGATATTTCAATTCAACTAACATAAAATTAAGATATATTTTTAATTTCTCGTAAAACAGTAAAATTAACAGTATATGCATCATTAAAGTCTTACACTTAACTGTTTGTTATAAATTTCTAATTTTAATCAAAATAAAATTAAAAGCATATAAGATAGTTCACCCGCCTTCCTAGCATGTCTTCATGGTGTAGTGCTCTGCACTTTGGGCCGGTATCCAGAGGTCCGTGGTTCGATTCCTGGCGAAGGCATTTTTCATCTTGCCTGCTTCCAAAAAGTACCTAATTTCTCTACAAGGATAGTATATTTTATTACGAAGGAGCAAAACCCTGCAAGACAATTTGCATATCATACGCATTCACTTGAATTAATTTAGTAACTTTTTTAAAATGTGCTGTTCTGACTATTACTTTTGTTTATTTATTTATTTGGATTGAAATGAAAAAAGTAATGATGAATGAAAATGATGAAATTATGAATGAAATAAATTAACGTGGATAAGTTAGCAGAAACGATTACGCTAAATTAACTACAAATTAATTTTAATTACTGCAGGAAAATAACAGGCAGTCTGGATGTTGAAGCTCTGAATATCTGGGATCTGGATAGTTAGAATAATTGTATTAACTGCATTAAAATTCAAAATAACTGTTTTAGTTACTACCTGAAAGAAACAAAAAAATAAATCACTAAACTTTATCTTACTTAGTGCAAAGAAGTATCCAATCAGTGTAAAGAGCAGTTAATTCCAGGAGCAAGAAATGAGACAGAAGTATGGGAACAAATCTGCCAAAACTCAGACATCGCAGAAAAGGTAAGCATCTGATTAAAAATTACTTTAAATTCCTTTAAACTTGCATTCTAGTATACTATTTTAATCTATTAAAATTCTATATACTATTTTATTAATCTATTAAAATCTCTATATACTATTTTATTAATCTATTAAAAATTCTAATACTATTTTATTAATCTATATATAATTAAATTAAAATTCTATATACTATGTTTATTCTATATACTATTTTAATCTCCTCAAATTATTTATCTATCTTTTGCGTAACATACTTAGCAGGTATATTTATTCAAGCAAAAGCAAAATTACTGGCTCTCAAATAAAATGAATGAATAAATAAATAAGATTAAACTAATGTGTTTGTGAAGTTAGTCAAAAATTTTGCATATTGTCTATACCGGGATTCAAAATTCGTCAAGGTTATGCCTATGTATAATGTGTGAATTGACTAAGTGTCACTAATAAACAACTGATTACACTTTCAAATTTATTTATTAGAGTACTGACAGTTTCTCAATAAAATTAATCATCAGACTTCAAACATCCAAAACTGAAAGCATCTGATGTAAAGAAAAGTACCTGAATCGCCACATGAAGATGCAGCGATTTAGTTGCTTTACGGACGGAATCACGAAATCTGTTGTGATAAGTAATAGGGAGTTTTAGGGAGATGTTGCAAACCTATTGTTTTACAATCTCAAGTGTTAACAGAAATGGGCTGCCACATTATTTCAGTTTTTGAAATTAAAAGAGTAAATTGTGTATTAGTCTGCTACGTAAGCTGAGGAAAATTTATATTTTATTCATAATGTTATACTCCAAAATATGTAAAATTCCTTCACAAAATATGCTTCTGTAGCCCACATTAAACCCAGACGTAATTTTCGCTTTTTTACTGAAGGCATTGATATTAAAATGATAATAAATTAAACAAATCAACAAAATTAATTTCAAAAAAGTAGACAAAAATTTATTAAATATCTGTGAAATCAATACAAAACTCACAATTGCGTAAGACAATAACAACTGGTATTAGCAATGTTACAAAGGAAAAAAAAATATTCTGTAACTTCAAAATATTTTTGGTCCTTAAAAAAGAAAAAGAAAAAAAAAAAAAAAGATGTACCATGTACACTGGTTTCGTTGAAATTGACAAAATTTTTAATAAATCTTCCCCCGGAATAATTATTGTCTAACATTCTATTTAACACCGCTATACGTGTGTTCTATATATTCCCGTTTGCTATCTCTACAACAATAACCTTGCATTTTGGTAATCCTGCAATCTTGCGAGCAAATATGATACGAATGCATCATCTTTAAAGTATGCCGAAAGGAAAAAAATCTTAACGATTTAAGAACTCGTAATCTAGGGAATCTGATATAAAACCCTGAATGATCAAGTCTACTGCGACTAAGAACCCGATGATGTCAAAAAAACCACTGTATTAAAAAGAGAGAGATACCTAAGCACTTTGGTGGCATTGTAAAACTCGAGGATTCTCCTTTTCATTTGATAGTACCAAATTAATATGTAATTAATAGGTATGAAATTAGAATTCAGATCAATCATTTTATACAATACTGCATCTCAGAAAAAGCAAAAGTCAAGCGGAGGGTTGCTTGCCGTACCCACCCTTGTTCCCTTGACAGGGAAAGGATAAGATCAAAACTGTCTATCATATCGCATTACTTGGTAGATTTCCTTTGATAAATCATATAAACTTTTAATTATTATTTGTTTTAGTAACATCTTAGTTTAATTAAGACACAATAACACGCCGAACAAATACTAATTCAGAAGTCAAACAACAAAAATCAGCGTTATGTTTTCGAAATTTTCACAGGACTAGTTTCGATGGTTTTACCGAACCACCATCCTCAGCTGCAAAACCGCAAATGAACGAAGATAGGATAGTAATGATTAGATAAGATAAGAAAGCCTGAGCAAGGAGACAAGCAAGTGGCGCCATCTGTTGATGAAACCAGAACTAAAATATAATTTCTTTAAAGGATGAAGGCAAAGTTGGATTAGAATTAGGATCGTTAACTAGAACAGAAAGATTTTTTTGAATGTGAAATGCATCTAGAAAATCCAGTTCTCCAATGGAAGATGTCTTTTGAATAATTTTGGCAGCAGAAAAATTGAAAGTGTGATTTTCGGTCCAACAAAGTTCTTCAACAAATTGTGATTTTCGGATCTTAGTTTATATCATTCTGGCGGTAGAATATGCAACTGGCTGAACAGCTTATCAACCTTTAGCTTTGCTTGTAAGACATGTTAGTCGATTCAGTTGATTTCTTTTTTAATTTTATGCTTAACAAAGCTTTTTTTGCAATTGCTCATAATTTTTATTGGAAGCAAACGTTTTACACATAAACTCCTGCCAAGGGTTTTGCATATGTAACTGGTTTCCGAATGTATCTAGAAATTTGATAATGTTTCCGGGCAAATTTTTATCTTCATCATAGTGACTTCAGTCGAGCCTTAGGCAGAATCATCAACAACTTCACATTCTTCTGTACGTTCATCTGAATTTTGTATGGATAAAAATGATTTCTGTTGGCCTGAATTATAGCACTAGAGTTGGAAAAACATGGAGGCATTTTCTAGTTCCCCCCCCCTCTGGATTTTTTAGATGTTTATAAACTTCATTACAATTTCAATTTTATAACCATATTGCTGCGATTCTTTGATTAATTTTTGGAATTAAAATATGAAAAAAAAAATAACTGAAATATTGCAGAAGTATTGACTGCTAATGCTTGTTCATGGGACAGTCATCACAATTCAACATGTTTGGTTTTGTTAGGTCCACAAGACGATGAAAGATTATTAACCTCAAAAGTCAGACATTTCAAGTTATACAGGGTGATTCAGAATTCATCATCAATATTTGGTGGGGAGGTAGTGAACAGGGAAAAAAAGGATATTTCACAGAGGAATGCATGGGCGCATATGCCATGTAGTAAGCAAAATGACCTCAGTTCAACGATGGAAAGAACACATCAGAAGGAAGTGGTAAGGAAAAAAAAATTATTATCTTACATGTAACATTTCTTTGCATCGGTTTTACAGACTTACAAGACGTGCTCGAACTGCCGACCATGTGCTAGAATGCATGACTCACAACAGCGTTGCATGGACAACCGAACCTTCTGGAATATGTGTGGCATTTCTCGGATGTTAGAGGCAGCAACCGATATGTGTGCTACAAAATCCATAGCACTATCAACAAGGGTCTCGTACACCATGTTTTTCATAGCACCCCATACAAAGAAATCGATTGGACATAAATCCGATGAACGTGGTGGCTAAGAAACCGGTCCACCGCGACCCATCCATTGATCTCCAAACTTTCTGCTTAGGTAAGCACACACAGCATTTGCGAAATGTGCAAGAGCGCCGTCATGCTGGAACCACATTCGCCATATAATACCATCAGGAACCTCGTTCAGAAGATCCGGTAACACTGTCTGAAGATATGTCAGGTACTTGGCACTGTCCAAACGGGACGGTAGTAAATACGGACTCAACAGTCACCGACAATCCTAGTCCACACATTGATAGCAAAACGTTGTTGCGCAACCCCAGGTCTTGTACCGTGTGGGTTCTGATGATCCCAAACATGCAAATTGTATGTGTTGAAGACTCCCTCTCGAGTGAAAAACGCTTCATCGGTGAAAAGAACAAACGTTGGGAAATTGGGATCAATGACAGTTCCCTGCATGAACCATTAAAAAAAAAAAAATAACACGCTTGGGGATGGTCGTCTACTGCCAGTAATTGCACTCTTTGCAGATGAAACGAATGTAACCCTTCACCGTGTAATATCCGTTCCACTGTTACTTGCGAAATTTCAAACTGCCTAGTCATACCTCGTATGCTAGCACCAGGCTGTTTGTCGATTTCCTGTAGGACACATTCCTCTATTGCTACTGTCCGTGCCGATCGGCGCCTCCCTCCATTAGCATTACTAGCAGCAAACGATCCTGTTTCACACAGTTGTCGACGAATACGTGAAAACATTTGATGCTGTGGCACACGACGGTTGGGGAAGCGCGCTGCATACAATAGCCTGGTTCGAAGACATCTTCCCCCTGCTGCACCGTAAATTGCATGCATATCTGCAAATTCATTCCACGTATACCGGTTCATGTTACTTCTGCAAAGTCACCTAGTCGAATAACAACTGACTGCACGCGTCAAACAGTTGTGCCTATGTATGGAAGTTGTGTACACACAGTGCCCTCTACACCACCATGCGTTCGTCTGCGCCCATGCATTCCTATGTGATTCCTTCTTTTCCTATTCCCTATTTCTCCACCAAATATTGATAATGAATTCTGAATCACCATGTATAATCATTCAGCAATAAAATTTTGATCATCAACTAACTTTCTTCGAAAGTGAGAAGCACAATTAAAGATGTATTCTCACTACAAGTTTTATAAAGAAATTTAATAATAACCATGTATTATATATTTAAGAATATATTTCACGAAGAAAGTAATTAACTTTGCATGTAATTCAACTAATAATTAATATAGCATTTCTATTTTCACAGTTCTGTGACTGCATTGGAGATGGCGAAGAGAAGGTAGAGGTAAGTTATAAAAATTTAATTTATATGATATATTACACAATGCAAGACAAATTATAACTGACAGCCCATTTGACTAAACACGAGACTAGAGCAAATTTGACATATTTAAAAGAAAATTAATGGCAAATTTTATCACACAGTTTAATTCGCGACGAGTACCCAATATGGTTCCTTCATGTTCTGTTGGAGTGTAATGACATTTTTTAAACAAACTTTAATTTCGGAAAAGTCCGGAAGAAACATTTTTTATGAAATGTTTTTAAATAGTTATACATTACATTAATTAATAAAGGACGCTTACGGATTTTATTACGCCTTCCCTGATTAAAGCATTCTGATAGAATAACAGTTTGAGCGTAGCTTCATTTTCTGTATACACTTGTTTCAAGAAATTAAGTAAGGGAAAAGAAATCAGATAAAAGACTAGTATTTGTTCTAATTCATTGACAGTTTTATGGGTACTGCAGGTATAATAGAGAAAACCACTAGCATAAGGAAATACAAAGAAAATTACCAATATATAATTAAATAATAATGGAAAACAAAAATACATGGACTTTTTGAGGGGAAAGGCGAAGGTATTTGAGGAAGGTCTGTCAGCATGGAATATAATAACCTTTGCTAGAAATACATATCCGACGCGCTGACTCATGCTGAGAAAAGATGATCTACGGCTCTTGGGGGTATCTCTCCTCATTCACACAGCAGACATATTTTTTAGCTGGTAAAGGTTCTGAGAGAGACATGCAAATTAATTAAACATCTCTCAAGCCTGTTTCGTATATGCTCTACGGAATTTAAAATCGAATGATATCGAAGGCCATTCCGTAAAAGGCAACGATTTTTAATTCTTAGTACTAGCCAAAAAGTGCGAGCTCTATGAATTCAAAGCATTGCCACTCACAAAAATGGCAACGAAACCTGGCAGACAAGAAAAGGACGATCATAATTAGCAAAGATATGATCTCTATATCGCAAGGCTCTAACTGAAGATAAGGAGGTCAATGCCATAACTTTATGAATCTAAATCCACAATCTACAAATGACAGAATGACGGACGTTTAGAAATAAAACTACTTCCCGAGTGCATCTGTTCTCCTTCAAGATAGCCTCTTTCCCTTCACTCAGATTATGTTGTCTACCCATTTTTCAAAATCTGATTAAGGGTAAAGCGCCGAATCGTCCACTTTATATGGCGCGTATCGACGTGTACATGGGCAAAGTCAAGGGAGTGTGCAATGCCAAGTTTGTGCAATTCTCTAATGGTTTTTTAAGTTAAATAGGTCGATGCGTACATGGATATCGAGTTTGTGCAATTCTTTGACTTGTTATTTTTAAGTTGGTGCAAAATTGGCCACTTATATGGCGTATCGATGTGTACATGGACAAAGTCAAAGGAATGTGCAATGCCAAGTTTGTGCAATTCTCTGATGTTTTTTTAAGTGAAAATAGGTCGATGTGCACATGGACACCGAGTTTGTGCAATTCTTTGCACAAATTTTTATTATTTTCCGATATTGAGAGACGCGTGAAGCAGTGGATGATCTGATTATTTCGATTTTTCTCCTAAAATCCGTAACAAACCCAAGAGATACACTACCCATTTCCCTTGATGTATGTTCAAAATTGTTAGTTGCCTTTCAAATAAAGTGAGACAAAGGCTCATGTCATCACTTTTTGGATTAAAGTGAGGAATTAAAGTTTGTAATTGTAACTTTGGGATATCCGTGTCAATGAGTTTCAAAGCAGGTACGGAATAATGATTAGCACCTGAACTAGCTACTTGTATTTTCAATTTCTGAAGCTCGTGCTTGCGTTCTCTATCTCTTTCCTTTCGTTATATTCGCGTTCCTCACGATGTTTTTTTTTTTTTTTTTTTTTTTTTTTTTTTTTTTCTCGTTAAATTCACGTTCCTGTATTTCTTTTCATTCCGCAATAATGCTAAAAAATATATCATTAGTGAACTCTTCATTATATCCCTTACTCATTAAAATGGCATCCTTAATATCAACTATTGTCATTTGTTCCGTAACATTCACACCAAGTTCTTTTGCTAGAACACAGATATCTTGTTTACGTTCTTTAGCAAAAAACGACATTTCCCTTAAAATAAATTCTTCGATGAAAAAAAAAAACTTTATTGTGGCACTAACTAGAAGGTTGTAAAAAAAGTTTTTTCTGACAGCTCTCTTTGTGCTCGCCCACCTGTTATGAATATGTATTTTGTGGCTACAGGTAATTTCATTCGTCAAAAATTACTCATCTTCTTATTTGTTGCATAAATTTTGGACAGCAGTGTAAGCACGTAAGTTCGAATATAGAACGATCCCACATATAAGATGATCCTGCATTTTAAAGGTGTTTTTACAAGTAAAGGGAAAAAAAAAAAAAAAAAAAAAAAAAAAAAAAAAAAAAAAAAGACTTAAATATTAAATTGCTTTACCTTGTAAAGATAATGTTAATTTTATTAACAGTTAAATTTTGAGTTAAACTTCTTTCCTGTCAAATTCTTAACTTCAACTTATTACTTCCGGCTAGAACGTAGTTTTAGAATCACGTCTGAATACGTAATGAGGAAGAGCGGTATTTAACCGCGTAGTTCTACTTGCGGAGTTATTGAGAATCAGAGATTCTGATTAGCGCGCGTCCGCCTTTTGGCTACTCTCAAAGATGTTATTACGCTCGGCCGTACCAGGCCCTTTATAGCTTCGTAGTCATCCCGTGTTTAAGGGGCTTTTAAACGTCGATAGCTTCGGCTATATCTCTTTAGTTTAGATTAGTTTTAGTTTACTTCTTAGCCTCTTAAGTTCAAGCCCAAGTGTCGTCTTTTATTGTACACTCCAAGACGGAGTTCTGTTAAAGCTTATCTGAATAATAAAGGGTTATTTACCCTTTCATCTTGTTGTTTCTTGTCACACGAACTGAAGCGATTATTCGCTTATCAGTTCTTAAAATTCTTCACGTTCAACAGTAACTTAGCATTTACAAAGTCGGGAACTCTGAAACCTGTACAGTAAGACTTACATGCTGAAGATGTTTTCTGTAAAAAAAATAATGAAATGCAGTAATGCGAAATGCTGTGATAAAGGTAAGATATTTTAATATAAAAGATAAATAAGAAAACATTTTGATACATATTTTGAAAAGTTAGACTGCCCGTCTAAAATGCGCATACATTTAAAAAAGACATTCTGAAAGAAAAGTGCATTATTACAATTTGCAAAAGTGCATTCGTTTCATTACGATTGCAATATCAAACATGACCTCTTTCCCTTAAAATATTGTCAATTTCATTTTAATCGACTTCACTAATCCAGATAAAATTAGGACTTTGCTACCTTCGAAAGTCGCCAAAATAAATTAAAGATTAGTTGGTATTAAATAAAAAAGGTTGGTGTTGGTGTATTTAATTATGGCAAAGCACACGAGGGCTATCTGCCTAAAGGGAGGGATGCCTTTCTAAGGGAAACTGGCTCGTATACACGTTACACATGGGGAAAACCACGAAAACGCCTATGCAGCCAGCCCGTTCGCGGGATTCGAACCTCAGACCGAACTACCAGTGTTCAGCGTCTTTACCGCTCGGCCGCTGGTGGGCTTTAAATAAAAAAGGAAATTACATTTTATGCAATAAAACTGAAAAGACATTAAAAAAACTTTTTTTAAAAATATATTTCGTAAATAATCCAAAACTTTTTAAAATCATGCAGATTCGATTTTTGAATAAACTAAAATTTCTATCAACAAAACATGATATCATCATTTTACTGGAATGACTAAGAACCGTGAAAAATTTAACATTAAGCAAATTCCTATAAACAAAATTCGATAGTATTATTTTTGCTGAGTGAATAATTTATTTTCTTCATTTTTAGATGAGCGAAGACGATAAGGAAAATATGAAGGAATTCAAGGTAATTCAACTCTATCTTACTTTAGTAACGTTAAGTATAGTTACAAATATTTAATGATAAAATAATCAAACCAAGTAGTTACATGGGAATTGATTACCAGCACTTCTTTGAAGGGTTATTTCGTATTCAAGTTATACATGGGAAAAAAACGTAAATTGTTACTCAATTTACTTTGCTCCTTGCCGGTCAAACTTGGACAAAACTTTCCAGTTCTCAGTTACTTTTTAACCTCTATATAGTTGGTAAGCTTAAGTCTAAATGGGAAGTTTCTGTGTGAGCAGATGTTAGTAATGTACTTCGACAATGTTTTGCTATATTTCTTCGCTTTCATTTCATACCGATGTAAAACAAACATCCTAGACAATGCATATTTTTTTTTATCTTTTACCACTTATAAAAATATATACATTAAGTAAAATTACAATTGCAGTATCAAGAAGGGTTGAACGATTTCTCTGAATTTGAGAGACGCCAGTAATTGGATAATAAATAAGACATGATCATATTTTAAGAGTAAAAGAATAAATTAAACGGTGAAATCTACGGTACGGTGAAATCTTTTTCACGAATTAATTCACTCCTAAGACCGTTCATTGTCCGAAATGTTTGCAACCTGAAAGTATTTTCCCCAATGGAAGTAAAGTGAAATGAAGTAATCCGTACTTGTACCACATATGATTGCTTATTTAAAATTTACAACAGTACTTTGTGCTCTTGTTCCTAAGACAAAAACCAATGAAAATCATTAAATTTAATTATTCCTCCCCCCCCCAGAAAAAGGCTTAATACTATGGTAAACAACTAAACAGATAGACCATAAATTTTACTCTACCCATACAAAGCAGAGTAGACAAAGTTAACGGAAAAGAGCTTAAGGAAAGAAAGAGATGTTACTGGTTTCGGTAAGGATTCTCTTTCAATAAAAACATCAGGTAACGTTTTTCTGGGACATTCATTTTTTCTTTGTTTCTTAGCACTACTCGATACTGCTTCAGATCCATACGGCCTCCATTTCATTCAAAATTTGAGATTTGTAGCTGTCTACGATTAAAATGTTTCTTACGTGAGATATGGAAGTGTCAGTGAAAATGTTTCTGCTTAGCTTGCTACAACTTTAACAAGGTGATACTGATACATGAAGCTCTGCGGACCAAAGAACTAGGTTCACCTTTTTTACTGAAGACACCACTTCCTCTAAAATCGCTCTCCCCGCTTCTGACATTTTTCCAGTTCTTTCTTATTGAGTTCATTTTCATGATTCTTTAACAACTCCTCTATGTCTGCACATTTAACTTTCAAGCCCAGTTTTGACTAAAGACACAACACTGTAGAAATTAAAAAAAAAAAAAAAAAAATCGTCTACGTCAAAGCCTTTGGTCTCTGCTTGCAACACAGTTCTGATCATAATTTCCTCCAGGTCGAATATATGGTCCCGTAAGTTATTTACAGCCAGTTTTTGTAAATATGTAAATGAGCCACGGAAAATGTTAAAATGATATTTCTAGAAATCCCTGATTGTTAATTCTGTGTCAGAGGTAACCCTCAAAACACCTTTAAAAATTATTTCAGCCGATATGACTCTACCGTATTTTACTTCGTACAACACACCGATCGTCACCTGAGACGTTTTTGTTCAGGTAATTTGTTCGCAATGACAGGCGTTCGTGATCGGAGATTCCACCGTACATCATTATGCGTATAAGGTAAGAAAGTCGCTTCACTTTTGTTAGCGAGACATTTATCACTTTCTGCCTTGACGTATAAATATGACAAATGCTGTAATTAAATCTTGGAATATTACTAGAGTTATCAGACGATGGGGATTCGTAACTACGCCCGAAGCTGTGTACGAGATATTTAAACAAGAATGATTGTTCTTCCAGTTTATTATTTCAGAGCATCAGCCGGTTCTATGATGCCAGAATAAACTTTGTCTTAAAATGAATATTGAAGCAGAAAAATTTAATCTGGCATTTTAAATTTCTGTTGTGAATTATGCTGATTTAGAAGGCAAAGCAAATTACGTCAACATGATAATGCGCAATTAAGTGAATAGATATGAATTATTTGATAAAAAAAACTAACATCCTATACCAATTTTCCAAACCTTAAAACAAAATTTTGCAAAAACAAACACACACACACACACACACACACAGAGGGGGAGAAAAAAAAAAAAAAAAAAAAAAGCAGCTCTAAAAATTTAAATAAATGGTCATTTTTATTTGAGATCTTTATATATTAAATTTCTTATATCTTAAAATATTTTCAATGTAGTAAAATTTGCTGTGATTACCGGAATATCAGCTCCAGCAAAAAGAATGTTTTTAACCCTTTGTCTCTAGAATGAGGTCAATCACAGATATCAATAGTAAAGAAAAAATGAATTATAAATATTCATATGATGAACTTTATGAAATTAATGTGTAATATGCAATTACACAGTAATTCAGATACTAATCAACACTGTAGGTGAATTATGCCTAACTCTGCTTAAATTAAGTTATTTTTCAAAGGATGTTTGAAGACTGCTCAAACTGTTTTAAGCTACTTGATTTTACTTCTTTTAGCTGATGGATACATTGCTAATTTAGATTTGCGAAAAATGTTTTCGCCGATCTGAATGAAATTCAACTGTTTTCCTACTTTTCATATCTACACAATTTTCATCACCATCACTTTGCTGTATAGAAGTCTTTTCACTTTGCAACAAGAGGAAAAGGGACAAATATTGCCTTCTCGATTCCTTTGCCATCATTTCTGAAAAGCATGCAATTTTATTACATAAGCGATGCGTTGCTTTACAGATAGATAGTTTTCAATATATATATATATATGTATACAAGCTTTCCCATGACTTAGCAGTTATTGCCTCATTATTATTTTTTTTAATTAAAGAAACACAATAAGTTCCCCATGTATCACATAATATCACATTGGGCTTACAGAAGTAAGTATGAAACACAATACAAAATAAGCAGAAGAAAAAACTGAAATAAAATTAAGGATGATTACAAAGTTTTACAATGAATTGACAAAAAGTGTTAAAAGCACTTCTCTCGGAAATAAATTGGTAAAATTCTGGAGGCCAGTTAATATTAAAATTTTTCAGTTCCAGTTTCAAGACTTTCTTTCGCTCTCATATTTAGGACATAGAAGAAGCACATGTTCAACACTCTCCTCGCCATCGAGGCTACAATCACAGACAGACTCGGGGCTCAACTTAAATCTGTTCAAATAACTTTTGAAATTTCCATGCCCATTAAGAAAATGGGTTAATTTATATTTTGTGAAGAAATCATGACATGAAAATCTCATTTTGATAGAAGGGAAAAATCTCTTAGTTAAGCTCCCTTTATTTGAATTAATGAATTCGTGGTTCCACGACTCCACAATACTTTCATACATGACCTTCTTATAAAAGGAATTAGGGATATTGACAAAAGTGTCAATTTCCCGCTTAGTCGCAGTCTTAGCAAGTCTCGGCTCGTTCGTTTCCACCACCACCTCTATGACCACGAACAAATGAAAATGCAACCGAAATATTTTTATCTTTTAGGTTTTTCAATTCTTTTTGAATCTCGATAATGACATTATTAGAAGAAGAAATACATTTTAATATCTCCAAGGATGAAAGGGAATCAGTACAAATGAGATAGCCTGAAACAGCACTATTTTGTTCAGAGACCCATCTGATGGCGAAGTTTAAGCACAAAAGTTCAACTATAAAAACGGTACATTCATCTCTAATTCTAAATTGAAAGTGCTCAAATTCATGACCGTTTCTGAAGACAACAAATGCGAGACCAACCTTGCCATCAATTTTGCTGCCATCAGTATAGCAAATTACAGGCAATCATCTACCATTTTATTGCTAAACTGAATAAAATTAACAGCATTTCTTTCTAAAGGATGAGAGAGATCAGATGGAGGTAAAATACAATCATACTGAGAGACAGCAGAAGCAGAAATATTTTCCTTATAAGCAATAGAATGAAGAATGGCAATGCCAATTGGAGGAAAGCCAGAAATTGCATAAACAGACTCATAGCTAACGGTACGATATCCACATATGACCCGCAGAAGTATCCGCCTTTGAACGCGTCGTAAATATCTATAATTTATCCTTTTGAGCGATATACCCCAGACTTTAGAGCCATACATAATGAAGGGTGCAATTCCTTGTTTATAGATGAGCGAATAAACATTGTAATTAATACCGTATGTGTTGCGTGCAATACGACTTAATCCATGATGTAATTTATCACATTTCTCTGATACATAAGTTAGGTGTTGCTTCCAAGAAAATTTACAGTCAAGAAAAACCTCAAGCTATTTCATTTGCTTTACCACAGTCAAAGGGGTGCCGTCGAGAGATAACTGAAATGCATCATAACAGATGTTTCGCTTTTCAATAATCATAACTCTGGTTTTATCAGGATTAAAGTCTAATTTGAAACATTTTGACTAGTCGCAGGCGAGATTTAAAGTCTCTTGTACCTGTAAAAAAGTAGCAGAAAGGTCCCTACTCTGGAAGCAAAACAAGACATCATCCGCAAAACTATAGTATCACAACAAGCAAGATTTTCCAGTTTTGATAGGAGATCATTAATACACTGACTACCAATAAGTATTTGGACACCTGTGATAGAAAAGAAAAACTAACTTTATTGAAAATCAATAGTTGGTAGAGCCTCCACGAGAGGTAATTACAGCGTGGACCTTCCGGGGCATACTTTCCACAAGTTTTTGTATGACAGCTAGTGGTATTTTCTTCCACTCGGCTTGGAGAAGACATAGAAGTTCCTTCACCGATTTTGCACAGGTAGTGCACCCCTGAATTCGGCGATGCAACTCGTCCAGAGGTTCTCGATAGGGTTCAGGTCTGGACTCTGGGCAAGCCAGTCCATTCGATGAACTCCATTGGCACCATACCAAGCCTTGGTTAACGTCGAAACATGAAAACTGGCATTGTCGTCCTGAAAGTAACAGGGGTCCAACCCGTAAAACTGCCACAACGTAGGAAGCACATTGTCATCCAAAATTATGCAGTAGGCATCGGATTTGAGCTTACCATGAATGGGGACCAAGGGTCCCAGCCCACACCAGGAGAAACACCCCCAGATCATAATTCCACCTCCGCTGAACTTGACTGTTGGCACAATGCATTCTGACAGGAGACGTTCTCCAGGTAGACGCCAGACCCAGACGCCGAACGGTAAAGGGTGAACCTTGATTCGTCACTCCAAAGAACCCGTTTCCACTGATCTACGGTCCAATTTCGATGTGCTTTGCACCACATTAACCGAGCAGCGCGGTTGGATTTTGTGATCAAAGGCTTATGGGCAGCAGCACGACCATGAAAACCAAGCAGATGTGCTTCCTTACGGATGGTAGTCATTGAAACAATACTCCCGGATGCCTGCTGAAACTCCTCGCGGATGAGGGCCATCGGTTGGGCGCGGTTCTTCCGAATTTCTCTGGATAGCACTCGTCGGTCTCTATCTCCCAGTTTCGTTGATCTGCCGACTCGGGGCACATTCCGACAATCACCGCTCACTTTCACTTCTTAATCACATAGACCACTGTCGATTTTGGGTACTTCAGATCGCTAGATATGTCCCTTAAGGATCGGCCACATTTATGATACCCGATAATTATACCTTTTCTCGAAATCAGAGAGCTCCGAACTGCGAGGCATCTTGCATGCAAATAAAGCCGATGCTGTTTCCTACACGATATATACCGGCGGAGTCCGTGACGTACCTTAGGACGGCAGATATCGTCATTTGCATATGTGTCCAAATACTTATTGGTAGTCAGTGTAATAATATTCCAAAACGTTGGTCCTGAAACTGGGCCTTGAGGGCAACCCCTTTTAAGGTGACGAATTGCAGAAGCCGAGCCCAATTGCAGTTTGGCAGTCCGATCATTTAAAAAGTCAGCAGCAAGTGAAAAATATTCATATCACGTGAGCAGCTATCGTGGCTGTAGTCACTACCGAAGGAGGTTCAAGAAAAAGAAACCGGAGGTGAAGCTAGTACCAAAACCTGCAGAATTCAAGCCCCAAGATGAAGATTTTCCTGATCTCCCAACTAAGACTAATGCTACCTCCCGAAGAAGTCTGAACACCCCTCAAGTGGAGCAAGTGAAAAATTTATTCAACCTCCACCTGAGAACTTTAAAGAAGCAGTAAATTGGCTGCAGGACTAAAAAGTTAACCACTTCTTACGAAGTATGATAGTGCATATCGAAAGGATAAGAGCAGCACAAAGCTCAGCGGACAAGTTTCGTGAAGGATTTAGAGCAGTCAAGATGCTCTTGAAATTTGCGGAATAATTTCAGCATTCATCACTTGTTCACCAGTTTGACGGCCTTCTCTGACCTTCTGTTATTAGAATTTTTACTAGCTTAAATCTCGTAAGTTAAGCATTAGTTTTCTCATTTCCAAATTTTACTTAAATACCTTAACGTTTCTTTATCCAATGCTCTTTACAAATTCTTTTCTGAAAAGTTAATTCATGCTAGTTCAAGACTTGTGACCAGGTTATTTTTTGTCACTTTTCGCAATAGCTTAACATGTTCTACAGGGGGGTAGGGCCCTTGGCCCAGGTACCCTGGGTGTCCCGAAGCACCGCTCTACCAGGAGGTGAAAAAATATTCATTGGAAATTCCACTTTTTTGAGAAGATTGAAAATACAAGGCCACCATGCACAGTCGAAGGCGCCCTTAATATCTAAATAGAGTGCAATTTTTTCCTTTTACCTCTCTGAACAATTTCATTCAAGCGTGAAAGAGCGTCTTCAGAACTTCTTTGAGATGTAAAACCGTACTGATTACCAGAAAGAAGGTCTCCATGGCAGAAATTTATTGTCTCATTAGACATCCCGATCCTTAGGATTTCGAAGGAATTGGTGTAAGGAACTTAAGGACAAACAAAAGACAAACTTAAGGATTTCAAAGCGAGCAATGGCTACTTTGTACAGAAAAAAAAAAAACATTTTTACCTCCGGTACGCGAGACTGTGTATCAGAAATTCTAAAGATATGCTCATTTTAAAATTATTTTGCACTACTGCTCTTGAACTAAATTTTATGGTTTACGTGCGAAGAACATGATATTTAATAAATAAAAGTAACACACAAAATGTTAAAAAAACGCTCCTTTAGACGTAATTTAAAATCTGAAATTTTCCAGATTTCTTGGGGGGTAGTATTTTTTATATTAATATTCGAAAACAAAATTACAATTTTCTAACTAATATCCAAAACTATTTCATTGTTACCCATCACATTTCATATTTATCAAATTACTTAATAATAACTCAAAATTTTAGTTATTAACAGTATATTAAAATTTAATAACGTTTCTTAACTGAAATGTCCGACCTTTTTTTTAAATTCGTTTTTGAATTTAATAAATGTAAATACTGAAATTCAAATTCCTAATGTCATAGTCTTAATTTGAAATATCTGAAAACAGCATTACATATTCCACATTAAAAATAATACTAATTATTATAATTATTTTTCTGATTGATGATAATGTATAATATTTATAATTACGGGAATCAATGAATAACCTACTTACTTCATAGTTATGAAAAACTTTAAACACATTTTATAGCACGAATATAAAATTAAATGAACCAACGAAATATCTATATAAATGCCGAAACCATTAAATGAAAAGATCCGAATAATTACTTTTTCACTCTTGAAACAATATTTTGCGTTTTCTCAAAATAACTAAATCAGTTTGCAGAAGTTTTTAATTGAAGCACATAATATAAAAATTAAAGTCCGTAGTATTATTTGTCAATTTTATATCTCTGATAAAAACTGCAGCTTCCAATCAATATTCTTAAAAAATATTTTAATCCATACTTTCTAAATTTATTCTGCCTCACTTTGGGTGAAACTTTATGTGAGTGCATCATCAGAGTCATGTAAGAATCAAACATTAAGGATTAACTTTGGCGGTTTAGAGCTATTTATTATATTCATTAACAATTTTTAGGGCAGGAAGGAGAGATACCAAATTAAAATGGCGAGTTCAGGAACACTGCATACTTAAGTTAGAATTTTTGTTTACCTATCTTTTTAATCTCACACGTTATTGTTTTTTCTTTTCAGAAATGTGCTATCAGATTCTATGAAGCATACTGCCCAAAATAGATATGACTCCAATATCATAAAGAAGGCTTTTTATATCAAGATAAAATTTGCAGTAATAGATTAGATTGCAATCTAGAATTTTCCTACTTTTTTATGCATAAATTTGTGAAATAAAAGCCTTTAAAAATTGTGTAAGGGCTTTTCTTGCTTCTATTTTCATTCCCGTCTTGTAAATCATTACATCTATAAACATATAGACAGTTAAAACGCATGGACAACAAATGCAAAAGTGAGATCAGTGCTTCCAAGAATATAATTAATCCCAATATAATTTATATACGTATATAATAAATATACTTTCTTCCATACTAAGCTCTTGCCCCATATATCACCATCAGAAAACAGCCGACTTAGTCTGTGCACAGCATTTCTTTTTAATGTACAAGCGTATTTGCATGCGTTGACTGGAAGTCTCGAATGAATAGCTACTTACTTTACTTGCGACGAAATATTGCCAAAAATGTGGTTCAGAAATCAACCAAGTCATTATATAATTGTTCCAGACTACTGGCTCTTTTTTAATTACTTGTTTCGGTATTTCAAAATTATTTGTAGTAAAATGAGCAAACAACAGAGTAACGTGAAGGTCTAGTGCAGACAGAGATTGTGCCTTCAGTGCTGCTATTCTTTGGATGCACCACACAGTAAACTAATTTGAATGCTAATTACATTTGAAAATTAAAATCTAGGCATCCTAAAACGTTCAATATCATGTAATTCCTCATAAAATTACTTCTACCTCTCTCTAAATTGCTTACCTATACGAAATTTTCTTCCATAAACTTCGTAAGTAGTATTTGAACGAATGGGATGGCTTCTAGAAATATGTATAGTTTAAATTAAATTCCTCAACTGTACATGATACTATCCATCCAAGAGGATCAAATATGTTTGCTCCTTTAGATAAGATATATCCTTTGGAATATTCTACTTCTCTTCCATGTGAGAAACCGAAAGGCCAGAGGAACCACTATATGGATTTCATATGAAACATAATATTTCAGCACCTACATCACTATGTATGGGAATTAAACAAAACTTTTCCTAAAATTACCTTGTCTAACAACTTGTGTATTTAAAAAACGTATCTGCCTTACTACTGAGAAGGATCATTCCTATATAAAAGAAGTAATCAAACAACTGAGTTTGAAATCAAATAAGAAAGAACCCCAATATAAGATATAACAAAATTAATTTTAAAAAAAATCTGCCTAGCATGAAATAATTAAGCAGAATGCTTACTGCTTATATGAAAAGGTTACAGTATTATCTAAAACAACTGTGGAAGAAATTATAACTTTGACGAGCCTACAGAATATAGGACAAAGTGCTGTAAAAAATTCAAAAATAAACTTATATTAAAGAATAAGAATACAGAAAACAGTACAGTTACGCCTGATGTTAGTCAACAGATTGCTGCTATACAGAGAATGCACCTAATTTAACATGGAAGAAGATTTCATTTTGAGTTCAGTTAACACTTACCCCTTCGGAAACCATATTTATTAATGGTGGCATGTTTACATTGTTGGATCTCAGGCCCCTAAAAAGAAATGATAGTGCCGGCATATATCAACTTGTTTTTTGCCTATCATTAGATTCTATGAAATAAAAATTAATTAATTTGATTGAAAGATCGAGGTAGTAAGATTCATTATTCAACATGAAAAATAAGAATTTTGAAAATGCTGTTTGTTATTGGACTCCGAATGCGGAGATTCATAGTTTGAAAGTTTGAATGCTGATGAAAGTATAGCTGATTTTTCATGTTTCCTGCTTCGAAAAAAGTAGAACCAAATATTCTTTACAAATTGTCAGTAAAAAGTTTTTCAATAAAATCTTAATTGTCAATTTGTGTCAATAGACAATTGTCAAGTTTTAAGATTTTTGAATAAAATCTTAAAAAGAAAATTTTTAATCATTGGGGCTAAAAGAATCAAAGAAAAAATACGAAAAGAAGTCACAGTTGCCCTTCTCGCCAATGATACTTACTACTTTCTTCCATTTATAAATGAAGCATAACTGCTTTGTCAAACATCTGTATAAATTTTTCTTGCCCAAAACTGTACTGCATGTAAGAATGACTTGCATCCCACTCAGAGTGCCACAAGGTTTTAAAAATACGATTGTTAAATTTATTTTATTACAAAATTATCGTAGCACATTTGTTTGTAGTATTTAAAAAATTATTTCTAGCATTAATACTGAATATGCTACATGGGACGTTCTTACCCATTTCTTGAAATTAATATCATTATATATATATTAAATATATATTAAATAATCAAAAGAAAATTAATCTTTTAAAAATACAAGTAAAAATGTCTAATAAACAATGTAAAATATATTAAAAATTATAAATGATAAAAATTTTAACAATTTGCTGCATTAAACTGTGCATGAGTCACTTTTATTCCTGCTATGCGTCTTTTAAAAAAAAAAATCTTATAATGGTGAAGTATTTTTAAAACCACACAGTTACCTATCAGTTCATATATTTAATAACTTTAGAATGATATTACAGTTAGAAAATATTTAGAACATTTCGTTTTTTACAAAACATACTCAAAAACCTCATATGTTTGAAAAACGAGTTTTATAACTGATACGGTTTCCGATACAAGCGGCGTGCAAATGACTGTCCCTCTGAATGAATTCTTTCATGTCTTCTCATATTCCACATTCTATTTGTAGAATAAAAACAAGATGGGCACTGATATCTTCGACTTGCATTTGTGTTTCTGGTCCACAAATTGGAATCTGAAATACGCAAAATTCTTTAATAAATTCTGAATCATGAAACATCTATGTGAAAACTATATAGAGAACTACTTCAGAATTTTATTAGGGAAAAAATTTAGAATAAGGTATAAAAGAAAATATAATCATATTAAATAAACTGAATTTCTATGGCAACACATGTCCACTGATAAGCAAATGCAGCGATCTCATCATACGCAAAAACTGGTGTCAGAATTGAACTCATGTTACTGAAAATGAAAAAAATCAATAATTTATACAAAATTTAAAATTATGTATTTATGTATCTAACAGATAACAACAAAAACCGTTTTTAAGTATTTCAGATAATAAATTATGCAAATAAAATAGAAAAGTGCATTAATATAATAGAAAGACCACCAAAAATACTTATGATCATACAAATGAATATAAAAAATCAGGCTTATGTATGTTACTTGAATAATATCCATAGATCGATTGCAGTCTTTTTTATATTATGTCATACTTGCACAGAAATAGGCTACAGCATTATAAGGTTATCACTGACAAAAATTGAGTAACAACAGAGTGTTTTTTTCCCATCATGAGAAATTTTTCTCACCCGTTATTCAATTTGCAGGAATTAGACCCCCCTAAAAAAAAGCAAATCAACAAAGCAGCTTAGAGTATGTCTGCTCAGTATACCAAAAACGGAAGAGATGCTTAACAGCAGATTTTTTTGTTCCTCATATATGTATGTTTCGTAAAGTTCCTCTTAAAGATTTCCGAAAATTTCAGCTGCCATTTGGCTTTTTTTGGCGGCCAAGTGATAAAATCGCTGAACAAAGGTAATTTGAGTGAGCTCCAGATGGGCTGGCTGCATGAGAATTTCTACTGTCTTCCTCACGTGTAACATGATCCAATTTCCCTTAAACAATCTTCCATGAAGGCATCCCTTCCCTCAAACAAACAGTCCTCGTGTATTTTGCCTTAATCAAAATAACCAAATCTAATTCAACTAGCTTTTCTATTTTGCAGCAAAATTAAAATTTTTGACAAAGGGTAACTGCATGGCATTATTGGAATATTTATTTTGATTTTAGAGGCCATTAGCTTAGCCTATCCATAGGCAGATGGGTGGTTAATCCTCCCAATGACATTTTTTTTTCTCTTTTTTCGGTTTCATTAAATCACAAAACTTCTTGAAAATTTGATTACTCTGTTGCAAAGCGTAGTTTTAAACAACACTCTCATAATATTTTAATCAGAAGCACATTAAGCAGTGTTGAATTGAAAATTTGATTACTTTGCTGCAAAGCATAGTTTTAAACAACACTTTCATAATATTTTAATCAGAAGCACATTAAGCAGTGTTAAAACAAGACACCACTTTAATTAAACCAATAAGCGATGATACTTTCAGCCGCTGTTCGATTCTTGGTAAACATTTTAGCTGCTTAGATAGTTTTTTAGTTTTTATCATGAATTGAGAGAATACGAAGCTCATTTCATTCATAATACCTTTCACAAAAACTATTTAAAACAGATAGCCTCGAATGCTTTAAATCTAGACTGCAACAATACTAAAAGTAATATTATGTAATATTGCAAATGAATTCTTACAGCTCGTGATGGATCATGAGTAGGAGAATGGTGCATACTAATCATCGAACAAACATCACCGGCACTATAAATGAGTTATGCTTCTACCTAACACCATCCACAGCTTAAATTGCGCCGAAGCCCATTGAGGCCTGGCTTTGGTACTTCTTCATTTTAAAAATAAATAGTAATTCTAGCTGGAGCACACCGTAAACCTAAATAAGAAAGCTTTAGCATTTCTTTTATGTAACTGAACCACACTTCCAGCACAGAATTTTAACAAAATTAAACTAAAAGACAATTTTAATTTCTGAATGCAAGCCTGTATTTCTGTGGGAAATAAACGGAAGATGAGATTTTTGGTGAAAGAAAAGCCTCCACCCACATGCCAAAGACTTATTCTCCAAGAAATAAAATGGATTTATGATAGCGGATACATTTTTCGTTTCCATACTAGTATCTTCCCGAGGAAAGAAGCACCTGCAGAGGTTCTGGAACGATGAAGCCCAAAAACGGGAGAATAACATCATCTCAGCTAACAATCGGATTACGGAAAAATTTGTTCCCCTATCCCATTCTGTTTGACAGTAGAATCGTGTTGGCCGTGGTAGAACTCAAGTAAGCAGGGGGACGTGGTAAAGTGCTGAATGTTTCTCTGTTTATTTTGATACTCTGTTTATTTTTACGTATCCTCCATTAAAATTTCTTCCATACTCTGATACTATTTATTCCCATTAGTGACGCATTAACCGTTTAAATTTTTTTTAATGGCGTGCTAGGAAAAGAACGGTCTTTGTTTTTATCATCCCTTGAAATAGCATATTATTACAATATATTCTGGGTTTAAAGCTCTGGTTCAGCCGCAGCCACATTGAGCCCATCTTAGTTTATGAGTGGAATTTTAATACCAGCCGAAACCCCAAATAAGAAGTCCAGTATTTTATTATTTTAACTATTTATCATTACTTTAATAATTCATAAAATTTATATTTATCTCCTTACATTGTATTGAATATTTATTTTAATCACTTTAAATATTAATTATTTTACTACTGTGTCATTTTTATTATTGTTGTTGTTGTTGTCGCTGATGTTGTTTTATTTCCTGACAATCTTCCGTAGGGTTCCGGAACTTTTAACTTCAGAAATTAAGCCCCGGTACCATCCTATTCTGGACTGAGACATTTCAAGGAACAGCATTTAAAATGCCGTACTTTTCTTCCTATCCTATCAACCTCCTAAGAAAAATTTTTTGTCAATGGATTCTACATGCCTCTGCCATGAAAAGAATTAAAAAGAAAAAAAAGTTATATATCGGATACGTGACAAGAACTTATTTTTTTAAGACTTGAAATGGAAGTTAAATAATTCATGCTAAATAATTAGATCTATATTTAATTCAATAAAATAGAAATACTCCAAATTACAATTATTCATAAAAAAATAATTTCCAAAGTAACGTAATGTACATACTTACAATATCACAAAAAGGATTTAAAATCTAAATGATGAAAGCATTGTCATTTATTATTTAAATTTAAAGTTTCACACATAATGCACAATCATTTAGTTTTTAAGATAGTATCACCTCAAAAAATTAAGAGCAGTTCATAAAAACAGATATAAAGAGAGATATATTTCTTCAATAAAGAGAGATATATTTCTTCAATTAAGTCATACATAATTAAACTATTACAATGGTTAATATATATATATTACTATAACATTAAATCATTAAACAGTTAATATAGATATATATTATTCCAATAACATGCACATTAATTAACCTGAAGATTACCTGTTTTGTTCTATTTAAGTGCAGAATCATCTGCAAAATGAGTTTTCCGTGCTTTATTTATGCAATGTGTGGTTTTTCTGCTTTTTTCCAGCTGCATTAAAAATTTCAGTAATTTCTCCCAAGTGCATTTTTTTACCTTGTTATTTGAATAACATAATTTAAAATTTGAGCATATTCATTTTTTTTACACAACTTAACATATTAAGTCTTAATTTAATATATTCTATAAAATTTATTTACAATCAGCAATTTAAGCAACTGTTTTTCAGTTATTATTAAGATATCCAATATTCTTATACAGATTAAGTTAAAACTATCTCTTACATTTTGCAAAGCATGGTTTTGTTAGTAAATAAATAATTTCATCCAAAAATATCAATTCTCATATCAATATGCTGAAAGCATTTCCGAAAATTATTTAATCACACTAATTTTATTGACAATGTATGGCATAATTAAGAACCACGAGATAGAGAAAAAATAAGAACTTAAAGAACAGAAACGATGTTATTACATTTTATAATATGTGTAAGAATGTATTATATGTATAAGAATTTGTGCTTAAATAATTATGCATCACATCAAGAGAATCAAAAATAACCATATGTAATTATAATCAACATGCCAGAGAAAAAGCAAATAACACACATTTTAAACAGCATTATAGTGTATAATTCAGTTATTTCACAGTAATAGGGAAATATAAAATTTATTACCAATAACTATAAAACATACAAATCATACATACGTATCATTCAAATGAGTATGAAATTTTCTATAATGAAGAATGACTTGTGACTTTATGACGTGTTAAATTGGATTTAGATGCAAAGTAACGCATGCACAAGTTACACCTAAATGGCTTTTCTCCAGTATGCACATACATATGGTTCATCAAACTTATTTTGTGGTTGAATGCTTTGTTGCATATATGGCAGTTAAATGGACGCTCCTGAGTATGGACCATTTTATGCCTCCTCCAATTGGAAGAATTGCTTGATGAATATGGACAAAATTCACATTGATATCTTCTAATAGAAATCCTAGTTACTTCTGAACCACTCCACTGTATAACTGCTGAAACAAAAGGTTGGTATATATGGAAAAGATTTAATTATCATAATTAGAAAGAAAAAGAAGATAATGTATGGCAGGAATTAACAATTATCAGACAATATTTTAATTTCTAACATCATTTCAGATAAATCCATTAAATCAAAGATAAATCTTTTAATGTCAATTAGTCTCTAAGATAAATAAATCGATACTCACTTGTTAAAGCAACCACTGTATAATCTTTTCACATTTAAAATTTCCACATTACAAAAGAACTATCTTTACACCATTAGAGGCCCTAGGATAAAACAGTGTGCTGGGACCCCTATGGCAACCACTCGTAGAAATGAAAAGTAAATGAAATATAAATGGATAAGCATCAGGCTCTCGAGTTCACTAGGTCATCGGGCAAGTGCTCAGCAGGCTTATGGTCAAGATGATCCTGCGGTACAGCTTGGGCAAGCAAATTTGAGAATTTTTGCGACTAATTATGCTGGTCGCTTTTACAAGAAAGTACCCAAACTTTTTTTAAGGTATTCCCAGGAAGGGGGAATTGCAAAATTGTGAAAATTTTAGTCATTAAATTATGCATATATTATTAAAAATGTATATTATATCTAACACATTAAATAATTATAACAGTACATATTTAATGAATAATTTAAATAACCAATTAGTGAATAAGGATTCAGAGAATAATTCATATTAAATTTAAATGATTTTCTAAATAGTTTGAATTTATCACACAAATACTGCTAAATGTATAGTGCAAAGCAAACCTATACATAAAAAAAAAGTTTGAACTTTTAAATAATTAAATTATTGGCCTTGTAGTGTTACAGAATAAAAGATGTAATACTGAAGACAAATTTTAAGAAGCCCATGTAAAAGTTTTTTTTACATATGTATTGATATTTATCCTCAATTAGTTAAAAATTGTACATATGCATGATTATTTTAAATACAAACAATGAATTTGTGAAAAATAATGCTAATATTTTCAGTTAAAATAAATAAGATAACCTTTTAATAATACTTAGTTTATATCAATAAAATCATTTCATAAAAATGCATCCACTGTTTACATTTCATCATACGACTATCAAATAAATGTAAACATTTATTATGTGGCAGATGCAAAAAAGGTTTATACCCATGGTTCTCAACCAAATGTGGAATTCCTCTCAAAAGGGAATTTCACTGTCTTACAGGAAAATCATTCAAATGTAGACTGGTAGATTCAAAATGTAATAAAATCTCATAGCACAAAGCAGCTAATGTGTGGCTGAAATCACAGTTAAAAAGGCTAAAAAAACATTAAATTTAAGCATAGACGGGTTTCCTTATTTTTATTTATTAAATATAACAATAGCCTGTATAATCATACAAATAATATAGATTTATTAAATGTAATTAATTTTTAAATCTCATTATGTACATTTAAAACGGACTAAAATATAAAGGTTTCACTTTTCCATTTTAAGCTTTTTGAATTGCACTTTTTCAGAGGGAAAAAACTTATGGAGATGACAGTCTCTCACACGATGAAAAAAGAAGGGATGCCCAAATAAAGTTGGGAACCTTTTGGTTTAAACATTTAAGATTAAAACTGTTTTAAATTTTCTAAAACATAAAACTAAAAGAAATTTTTAAAATATCAAAATTACTTCAACAGTAAATAATATATAATTACTAAAGATTAATATCAGAATAACTTTAAAAAGATTTGAAAAAATTTAAATAACATCCCCCTTCTAATTCTTTCTACATTAGCTACTTCTTATCATGTCTCCATTTTTTTAATTTGCATCATTTTTTTAAGAAATCAGAAGTCATTTTCTTAACATATCATACAGGAAAATCCTTTCAATAATATTCATACTTTATATCTGGCTTAAATATATGTTCTTTATTCAAAAAAAAAAAAAAAAAAAATAAGAAATTTGTACAATGAATAAAATTTACATCACGATTTTGCAAATTTTTCATTTTAGATTAAGTCATTAATTTTAATCAAATAAAATGTCTTTTAGTATTAATATAGAACGGTTAACATGTATAAAGAATTTACTTAATCACAGCTTTCAGATTTCATGTTTCAAATTAAATGCTTTTCATAACTACTTTATCTTCAACAAATATAAATTTGTTTATATCGCAAAGCAGTAGAGATAAACTGTTAAAAATAGCCTTTATAAAAACAGTTATTCCATTAAAAAGTAAAATAAATATAAACATTCCATTAAAAATCAAGCAACAGTAACAGCTGAAGGGCAGAAATTTGTGTTTAATGAATCGAAAATTTCAGCTCTAGCACTTGTATGCTGTTTGTGATGTTAAAAAAGAATTTTGCTGAGGGATATACAATTTTTCTATTACATAAAATATGTCGATGTCTTTTTATAAAAGAATTCTCCCCCCGCCCCCCAAAAAAGTTCCCAATCCTTTTTTTCTCTCTACAAAGTTTTCCCCCTATAATACAAATAAATACATTGAAAAATATAATCATTTTGCATTCATTGATTAATAAAGTATGTTTTGTTAAGTTATTTATGAGCAAGCAATTGAAATTTAGAGCAAAAATTAGAAAGGGGAAAATGTAAATGAAACTCAGAAAAGCAGACATCCACAAAATTCACTAATCCACAAAACCCTTCATCCCAATAATCCTGAGATATGTGGACTATTAAAATTCTCCTAAATATGAGAAAAAAATTGGAGTTTTACCCTAAAACTATCTAATATAAAGAAAGGAAATATAAAATAAATCACAAACTAGGAAACTCTCAAATTAAATGAAAATTTTAATCTTAAGAAATAGCCAAACAAATTATCAACATAGTCACATTTCTTAATTATATCTGGAGTTCATCCATTTCATTACAAAATTAAACTAAATTTGAATTTGTAAATAAACGATTACATCCAACTTAAAAAATAGGAATTTAATATTTAATTAATGCTTTCATCCAGATAATATCAAAATAAATGCAACTTTAAAAACATTATTAATATTAAAATGTTATAAATTTAAATTAAAGCTTTCATAAAGATATACTTTACTCTGACTTGGCATGCAAAAAAATACATACATATATCCCCCTCTTTTTATAATTCATAATAATTTAGAAACCATATTGAAATGAAGAGTAAATGGGCAAAAGTTTGGGAATGGCATATAAATACAAAATACACTCAACTCTGAATCAAAGTGTAAATTCACTTACGGAAAAAATTCAAATCAATAAAATTCTTAATTACTTTAAAAATTTTAAAATCCCAAATAAATATTAAGATTTTATTTTGGAAAACTTGGGATGGAAGATATTCTTACACAGAATTTTTTTGTAATGATTTTCTTCTAACAGACTACTATTAAGATATTACAAAATGGAATACATTAATATTATTATTATTATACACAGTAAGGTATTATACTTTATGGGAGATACACATATATATCATAATGACATGTGATAAATTTCAAATTATACATAGGCAATATTTAGCATCAGGCAATTACCTATACATATTTACACCAATTAAAAATCTTATTCTACTATTCTGTCACATAAATGCTTGGTTAGAATTAACATTAAAAACTTGCTGTTCATTTATTATGTTCCCAATGTTATATTGTTCCCAATATGTTAAACTAATAATTCATACTGTCATTATTGGTAATATACAAATATGTAGTAATGTTTTTTTTATTCCAAACTATTAGTATTTAATTCAATTCCTAATATACAATATGCATAATGGGATATAAGGGAAAGGTAATTATTAAAGTAATTAAATCTTATAATAAAAATGTGTGCCATTTATATATATATATATATATTACTTTTCTCATACAAAATACTTTGAGTTCACAGAGAGGAAAAGTTATCATCTTATAAGGAAAATGCACAAAATAAGATATTAAAAAACACAGTCATATTTAGAATCTACAATTTACAAGTCTAAAAAAAAAATTAAAAACATTTTTATAAGGAAAATGCACAAAATAAGATATTAAAAAACACAGTCATATTTAATCTCTGCAATTTACAAGTCTAAAAAAATTAAAAACATTTTATATGAAAATGTTCTTTAAATATTCATTACTGTAAGTATATTTTTTTCCTATTAAAATAGTGCACATTATAAAATACATTGATTTTAAATAATAACTATACTATGAAACCTTAATTAGTTTTATTCAACTTATTGCACATTAGTTTGGCCATGAAAAAGCAGATGTCTTTCCAATCTGCCAGCTCTCACAAAATCACGAAAGCAAATAGGACATTGGTAAGACTTGTTTTCATGAGTAAGCTGATGGCGCAGTAAACTATGTTTATAATTAAATGCTCTGAGGCATACAGAGCAAATAAAAGGTCGCTCTTGAGTATGAACCTTGCTATGTCTTTTCCAATTTGATGAATCATGTGTAGAATAAGAGCATAACGAACAAGTATATCTTCTAGTAGTATTTATAGTGTTTCGATGATGCCAAATAACATCTGAAATATACAAAATAATTTATAATGTTCTTTATCATCAATAAAATATGTATATTCAAATTACACAGATAAGTTAGGTATTTCATGAAAGAAATATTTTCATTTATTTATAATCACAAATTTGTGAAAGAAAAATTACAAAGTATCTGGCAAATTTTAGGTAATGAAAAAATGTCTGCCTGATAGCTAATGTTTACTTAAGATAAATAATAATAATAATAATAATAATAATGCTATTTGTGTTACCGATAAGTTTACATTAGAAAGAAAATGTTCAGAATTTCATATATCAAACTAAGATGTTAATACTCATTACTCTAAAATGATTTTTCTCCCCTAAGGACAGTTATTCATTTTATGAAACATCCTCATAGTGCTAATCTTCCAAAACTTATTGATTTTAAATATCCTATTTTTTCAGAAAATAGCACCTTTAAATTATTATTGATATTATATATAATAATAATACATAATTATTATTTAAAAAAGAATATACATATGTACAGTGGAACCTCGGATCACGAACAATTTGGTTCTTGAATGAATTACCTGAACAAAAAAAATCTCAAGCCAGGCGGCAAATGACTATGAACTATTCTGCAAGAACTATGAACTCATTCTGCAAGAAACTTGAGCTACACTGCATTGCAGACACAGACTTTGACACAAAGGATTGTTCTGCTACGTCATCTGTGATCCAGGAACAGATGAATTGATTTTATATTAATTTTTATGGGGAAAATAATTTTGATTTACAAGAATTTTGGATGATGAACCACATTCACGAACCAACGTTTCACTGCACTTAAAAAAATATGAAATTTACCAAATGAAGAAATAAGAACATTTTTATAATAGAAAGCTTATTTCTTATAAATGATGTCAAATAATTATCAAATTTAAAATTTGTATAAAGCTAATACTTGAATTCAAATTTTAAATTACTGATCAATTAAGACTTCAAAGATTATCACAGTTTAATAGTTTATACATGTACACAAGAAATTAATAAAAAGTGCAAATTATGTATAAATCAAAAATTGAAAGCAGCAGGAATACAGATTATTTAATATTCTAAGAAACTGATAACAGAGATATAACAGTTCTAATAACAGAGAATATTTATTGTTCTGTCTAAGAAATTACACTCACATGACATATTATTTTAATGTGATAAGCAAGAGGAGTAAAAGGAAGTCTAAAATGAACATACAAGACATCATCATATGAGTATAATTCTCAACACAGTGTTACAGAAACTTGCTGATATAATATAAATATATAGCAAACATGGCAAGAAAAGGGTACTATAACGGACATACTAATATTGGTTTTGCTGCTTCTCTCATGAGGCGAGGTAACTCTAAGATCAACCAAGATCAGGAAGATATCATGAATAGAAAATCAAGGACAATTTGGAAGCCACTGATGCCAACAACTTAATTACTATGGTAAAACTGGCAAAGAAGTTAGGGTTCATAGGAGAAACAGACTCAGATTCAAGATGACTCTAGACAGTGAACCCTTATGTTTTAACTTAGCATTAACTGAATACATCTAGATATCTGGGTAAAAAATAAACTGAAAATAAAAAATAAGTTCATTACAAGAATGTCAAATAATACAGCATTATTGCAAGACAAGCAAATTTCAGGATAAACTGCAAAATAAGGATAACACCCACAAAAGTTTCTATGTAGCTAGTGGAATTCCAGAGGAGTGATTTATTGGGAACAAACAATTCAGTTGGAAGATGTATGTTCAACAACTAGACCATTTTTGCACTGCTCTTGGAGAAAAGCACCCATCACTGGTTAACTGTTAAAAAGTTATATTCTATCATCACAATGCAAGACCCCATATTATGAATCAGCTTATCCAGACTCAAAGGACCAAAGTAATAATAACTTGGATAAGAGATTTTAACACACCCTCCATATTTACTAGATATTGCTTCAAGTTACAAATAATATTAGAGAATACAAATACATAGACAGCCAATAAATTTGATTTGTAACATAAAACTCTTTCAGTGAAAAACATAAGAAATTTTGCACACACACTGTACAAAAGTATACTAGCAATACAGCAGCAAATATAATTCCAATTCTAATAAAGAGGAATTACTCTGATTGCAGAAAGATCAGTGGATCTTGTAAACTTTATTTTAATGTAAACCACATTTTCTCATTGTAAGATCATCAGGATAGCAGGGAATTGAGAAACGATGATGTAGATATATTGAGATATTACAATTGCCCAAAATCCTTAAAATAATAATAATAATAATAATTCAAATTTTCAGCGCAAAAGAGAAGAAAGGAATATTTTAATTATTAGCAAACTTTAAGATTGAAAACAATAATAAACAAACAGATTCAAAACATAAAATGTAATTACAGACTGATTTAAACATATTAATTTAATTTATTTTTGAGCACAACAATAAAAAATTAATGAAATTAACACCACATGCACACAACATTAGCTTTTACACATCAAACAACATTAATATATTTACATAAGTATTTAATGCAAATCTTTAAGTTTTCTGTCCTGAAGATCTGTACTACTATAGTTATCCACAATTTGTTATTGTTTTATATAACCAATACACTTGTTTACAAAAATTTATATGTAATCATTTTACTTTCAGTTAGTAAATTTGACCTGGAAGCAGAATATAGGTAATAAAAATTGCACTAGAAAAAATTCTGTTACTTATAGGCAATAAAAACAATTATATAAAAAAATAACTACTAGCTCCTGGTGAAAATAAGAATTTTATTATTTAAAACCTTATAACTCAATGATACAGAAAATTATAAGCTCCCAAAGGTTGGAAATTTAAACACCTAAATCAAAAAATTATTAAAAAAATCATTTCTGAACGAAAAATTAAAGGGAATTAACAAAGTTGTCAGCATTGAGTTCAGGGAGGGAGGAAGTCTAGAAAGCGAGAAGGATGAGAAGAAAGTTCAAATGACTCTTGTACACTATATTCTTATCATTGAAACTCCAAAAAGAAAAACATATTTTTAAATATTCAGTGCCATTCTAAGAGTCTTGACTTCTGAGAGATAAAATCTGGACGACTCAAAGATTACACAAGACCCAAAAAAGAGAAAAGAAAAAAAAAAAAGAGAGAAGATTAAAAATTAAAATTTAACTATAATTCTTAAAAATACTGGAAAAGAATTCTTAAGAAAATACTGCTTTTGTTACAATTTATTAAACGAGATATTAAATTACAAATCATGTAATATTATCAAAAAGTCACACAGAATTTGCATATACTCATTATTAAATACATCCCATAAATGCATGCTATAAAAAAGTGCAAGAATATGAAATTTAAATATTTTTCTAGCACAGATTATAAGAAATTAATCATTACACTGCTGACTCAGAACCGATTACAAAACCCTAATAAAAGACCAAAAGTCACGTTAAAATATCTAAGGGAAAAGAACGACAAAAATGAACTCATATAACAGTAAAATGTTTAATCAAAAAAATTATTTGAATACATAATGCAATAACAGTAAAACAGTACACTTAATTTCATATTTCTGATAGTAGTGAGTAATGTGAATAAAACTAAGTCTTTGGTTTTTCTAAACTTTTGTCTGAGAGCATTTTTTTACATATACATATAGCAGTATCTTATATGTTTTACATTTATTTTCTTTTTAAGTTTGTAAATTGCAATAAATATGATCAATCTGAACTCTGAAATTTTTTAAATAAATGCCCGATTGCTTCAGAATCTTTCTGGAAGAAATAAAGTAAAATAAAAACATAACATTCGGCTGGGGAGTAGTTAAAAAAATTCAATGTATACAAAATCATAATTTGAAATAAAATGATGACATTCAAATTCTTTGAAAAAATATTTGTTTAATCGCTATTGTTTACTATATGATTTAATAGCACAATAGTAACAGAGATCTGAAAAATATAGATAATAACAAAGCACTTACCTATGTTCTCAGATACCAATTACACAATTTATGGGGAAAACATGAGACATTTATATTTTCATATACAAATAACATTTTTAAACATATTCAAGTTTATGTTTTAGGACTGCTAAAACACAAGCTAGAATGATTTTATATTATCTTGTAACAAACACTTTTTTTTTTTTTTTTTTTTTTTTTAAATTTTGGTGAGCATATTTTACCATTGCTAGAATCCCACTGCAAAAGTGTTTCATTACTTTTGTATGTAATTTATATCTACAGTAAAAGCAATATCTGAGTTACATGTTCTTGTTTGTTAAATGTTTTCTCAGTTTTCCGTTATTAGAATTAAGGCTACTGTACTTATTTGTTATACAAATGAAATGCAATACTGTGCAATAAATTAATCGAGTTGAAATTTCTAAATATTACTTAGATATAGAATCTTTTATTAAATTTGAAGCAAATTCTACCATTAAAAAGATTGATAGTTATAATAAAAGCTTAGACTGAATACAAATTTATTAACAGGCCATTCACTAATTTATCAAATATCACTACATTAACATAATGTCTACATTTTGCATGTTCTGACTTAATTCAACATTAAAAATATCATTTTAACAGCATATTTATAATACTGTGACAATAAATGGATTATAACTTCATTTTTCCTAATTATAACTGTAACTATAACACATACACTATTACAAGTAGAAAAAAGTGAACAATTTTAAATTGTACCTACTAAACTATTACATAAAAGTATATTATACAATGAATTACTTACTCAAAAATCTTTTATAGCTCCTAATAATATTTCACACATAACTTACTAATTTATATATAAACTAATCAAACACAATGAGCTTAACAGAAACCACTAAACAATAAAAGTTTGTCCTGAGTTCTATTCCTGGCAGTTGTACAAGTGGCTTATATGCAGTTTTTATAGTTTTCCAAAAAGCAATTTGAATGCGGGTCATTTTTCCTTAGAAAGCAATTTAAAGGCATCTCTTTTGGCATTTCCTTAGAAAGCCATTTAAAGGCATCTCTCTTTTGGCAGACATATCTTGCTACAATGAATGATCAACTTACATACTTATTTAATGCCGACAATCAAGAGATCTGTGATAAAAATTAGATGCATATTTTCAAAATGATTGAATATAACTCAGCTAAAGATTAGATCCATGAAATTTATATTTTTTATGTGTCTGTATATAAACTGCAGATGTACTCACTTCCATATTAATATAATTAAGTAACATTTCTGACCATTTATAATAAATACTCCTTTAAAATTAAATACATTAAAGATTTACAACCACTTCATAAATTTGAGTTTTTCTTCCATCAGTTCTTTAATATTAATTCAAATTTAAAATGTTAGCCCACCCCCACCAAAAAATTTTAAATTACTAGATTTTTTTAAATTCCATACTAATTTAAAATCAGTAAAGTATCTGCATTTAGAAATATTCACGTGTAATAAAACACAATTTTCACTACATTAAAAAGCTTCAACCACATCCATTTTGGATCTAAAAATAAAGTAACATCAATAAAAACAAGTATGCAAACAAATAGAAACAACTCCATTAAGAACAAACATAACAACAAAATCCATTTTTTATATTTTACAAATAAATATATAGCTTTTAACTTACAGGAAAATATTCCTTTTTAAATAGTAATTGTAAATAATCTAATAATTCTTATCATAATACTATAATTCATAAATAATTAAAATTTCAAATATAACAAATCTTTTGAATGACTAGAGTTGCACCATAAAGCAATATCATTCAATTACATGCCATTATCCTCATGCACCAGCAAATGTCTTTTTAAGTTGCCTCTCGTTGTAAATTCATTAGAACAAATTTGACACTTGTGAGGTCTCTCTCCAGTATGTGTATACATGTGGCATTCTAAAGTAAGTTTATGATTGAATGCTTTTTCACACAAAGGGCATGCAAATGGACGCTCTTGTGTATGCACTCTTCCATGTCTTCTTAAATTTGATGAATTATTTGTAGTATATGGACAAAATTCACATTGATATCTTCGAATATTTATGCTTTGATTCCAAAGTAATAAATCTAAAAATAAAATTGTAACAGCTCTTAATTTTAAAACACAGTATCACATAAAATAATTTCATGCCACAATATAAATAATAGATACATTATAAAACAGTCATTCTAATTTTTTAAATATAATTGAAATCTGAAATTACATTTGATATAACAAAATGTATTCTAAATGTAATTTTTCTATCTTCTTAGGCAATATGTTAATATGATATAAATAAAACTAAATTTCAAGAATCTGAAACTAAAGGGACCAAAAGGGCGGGGAATCAAATAATTTTTTTAAGTTCTGGGAAAAAATTTAATATTAATTTATATTCTATGTTTAGATATTCTGAACTAGTATTTGACCATTTAGATGGGGAAGGAAAAAAAAAAAAAAACATTTTGACTTTCACATCAATATCGCAAATATTTTGATTTATCAAAGTTCTACTGTACCTAAACTATACATAAATATGATATAAATATGTATGTAATATATAAATGTAACATATAACAAATTGCTCCAATTCTAAAACAATAAATTAGAAATGTATTACAATCCCTTAATCCTGTTCTGAAATTATTCCTGAAATTTACAGATGGACTTACTCTGTCATCTCAAAAAACTTTTACTTAGTAAATTTTCTAGGTCACTGCAAATTTTATACTATACTACTATTACTGTGTATTTTATATTAAAAACATAAAAATGTGTAATAAAAAAGGAAATCTGGAATGTAGACTATACTGAATTATTTTTATTGTACACTTAAAGGATTACATAGTGTGTGAAGCAGTTAAGTTCAACTTTTTAAAATTTAGTGTTCGTTACCTACTTCCATGCAGCTTCAGGTGACTCAAAAAGCAAATGCCAGAATTACAACACTTTTTCTCTACATTTTACTGTATGTATTTATTCATTTCTTGTACATAGTACATTTATAATGATCGTAATCTAACTCATTCACTGTGTACCAACTTTTCAGGATTATTAAATATCAAATCTTACCCTTAATTAATAAATGTTTAATATTTATCTCACAAAATACATAAATGTCATATATATATCAAATACAAAGCAAAAAATTCACAGATATCAAAATAAATTAACTGGAATATATTTTGAATGTTTGGAAAATTATTCTAGAAAGAAACTTTTTTCTACTTTATTTAGCAATATAAATTTATAACAAATGCACTCAAAAAAGCTATAAACATCAGCAATAACAAAACTAGAAACAAGAGTTTGTCAATCTGAATTTACTTTTTGAATGTCTGCTGTTAATCAGATTACATGTACACCAACTTATACTTTTTAATTATATAATTTTTATTTATACTTTTTTACTAAAAATTACTAAATCCTTAACAAATTTTGCAGTTTTTTAATTTAAAATCTTGAAAATGAATAAATAAGTAACTCTAAAAAAATTTCAGCATATTTAAAACCACCATACTCACTCAAAATATATCAACTGCCACTTACATTTTTAAAGATAAGGCAATAATAAATACACTTTAGAATACCCTAACAATTTTTCCAAGGACAGGATAATCTTTTTGTTATTATAAAATAATTTCTTTACGATTCAATTGTATGTAGCTCAAGCATAGGAGTTATTTAATTATTTTTCTATTTTTTACTTTATACATACACACATATTACTTTATATATACGACGTATTACTTTATATATATGACATACAAAAAACAGTTTATTAATATATTTTTGGAAGAAAATTTTTTGCATATTGTAAAACTTCAAGAATTTAAAATAGCAATTTTATAAATTTTACAAGAATACATTCTTGGATTTTGTTACGGAAAAATACATTTCTGTAACAAAATCCACGAATTAAAAATTTTAATTACATTTAAACACATTATTTCTTAACATATAATGCCTGAACTAAACACAGAATTCAAATATCATAAAAATAAATGTAAGAGTATTTCTTAATGTCTTTAAATTTGATTTTATAACTAAATTAATAATATCTTTCAGTGTCAAGTATATAGCAGAGCATAATTAATTTATACTAATGTGTGGCAATTTTATGTGGCCAATTATCATTGAAATGCAGTAGTAAAGTTCAATGGAAAATTTTACTACTGCTAAATGCAACATTCGTAACTTTATTTTAAGAAATGTATTATTCATACTAGGAAAAAAATTAATAGTCTATTTTAATGCTCAAATATGACTTTTCCAGTTTATACAAGATTTACAGTAATGATCTTCTAACTCAGAAAGCCAAAACAAGTTACTGAGCTATTGCAAAGGTCTGAAGGAAGAGCTACTCACCAGTGGTTACAGTGGTTAGAGATCAAAACCCTGGTACACTGAAGATCAGATTTAAATGAACATGTATATACTTTATATATTAATCACTTTCTCAAGCATAACATACTGTCGTAAATATGTAACTTAAAAAAAATGGGACTCTATTATTATCCAGTTTATCCTCAAATGCAAGAAAACAATTCATCTTTTAGTTTATAAAACAGTATTTTAAAAATTTAATCATTTCCTAGCACAGTAAAACAATAAATTTACATACAGATAATCCTGTTTTAATTATACTGACTGTAACAAATCGCTACAGGATCTAATTCAATGTGCTATATCCCCTGAAACATTACTAGTTGATTTTAGGATACATCATGTATACTCATACATGTTGAAGCTTTACAACTGCTAGCTCAATAAATTTTGGAATTAGCTCCCTTTGATCTGGTCCTCTGAGCATATAGACATGCATACACTGCAAAGAAATAACTTGAAAAAATGGGGGAGATTGCATATGAAAGTAACTAAGTATACCTATGTAAACAAAATTGCAGTTTCCTTATCCCAGTGTTAGAATATATCAATGTTATTTGAGAAAATAAAATGCACAAAAGTTAAAAGGAGAAAAAATTAATAATTTGATACATTTATAATTTACAATCCTAACTAAGAATAACTTGATTCAGAAAAATCCCACAGAGAGCTAAATTTGGAAATATTCGTGAATTTCAAATATTGAAAACTGAAAATTTTCCTTCAACATTAACTGTAATCTTTTATCACAACTGAAGATATAGAATTCAAGAGAACTTCCATTTCGATTTCAAAAACCAAGTTAAAATTTTAAAAATAATAATAATAATGAAAATTACATGCTAATATCAGTCATATGTTGCCACTGTAACTAATACTGCTGATCTGTTTAGGTCAGATACACAAGAAAAAGCCAAGTGGGGAAAGGGTTGCCATCTTGGTTGGCAAATTGTGGGTGACAGTATGAGTTTGCTCAGCTCCATCCTAAGTTTAATGGGGGGACCAGGAGATGAATCAAAGAATCTAAATTGCACTTCCTACATCACCTCTCAAAAGGACTTTTAGCTCTATAGTGTTTTAAGTAATCTCATGCCGCAAAGACACTACACATTTAAAACCTTCATGCCTTTTCTGGTATTTGAGCTCGCCCCAATGCTATGGCAAATGGCTAGCAAAATTTAATTTATCACATCAATATTTTTGTAATGTTTATTTTCATAAAAATTCTTTCAAACTCATTCGATTCCAAAAGAAAATATTATAACATCCAAAAAATATTTCTTCTTGTATGTATTGTCTTATACTTTCAAGTACACATCAAGGTTTATTATTTATTTAAAGCTATATTTTTCCATTCATAAGTACAGTATCTTATAAATATTAACATTGTATGAAAGAACATAGGAAAAGAAATGATTACAAATTGTGATTTGAATTTATTACGCATAATTTTTAAAAACATCTGAACTTCCAAGTATAATTTACAGGGGTATTTTATGTAAAATATGAAAAAATAACACATTTTACATCAGTAAGCAGCCATCATATACTATTGCTATTCTTTAATACATGCAATTTTATGGCGTGTTAAACTGAATTTATTTGCAAAGTCACGAAGACACAGGTCACATCTAAATGGGTTTTTAAGTGAATGCATATACATATGGTTTAATAAGCTTGTTTTGTGCTTGAACTTTTTTTTACAAATATCACAGTTAAATGGATGCTCTTCTGAGTGAACCACTCTATGTCTTCTAAAGTTTGAAGAATTATATGAGGAATAGGGACAAAATTCACACTGGTATATTTTAGGAGATCTCCTCTTTCCTTCAAAATGATCCCAATGCATAAGATCTAAAATGAAAAATTACAATATGAAAAACATTTTTCAAAGACAGAAAAATTAAAGTATTGTAATTAGATATCTCTGACAAAACATAATATGCAATAATCTGTGAAATTATCAAATTTGTTTCATTTTTTAATCCTTGCTAAGAACAAAAATATTACTGCTTGATCATGAAAAAAAGAAAAGTTCCCCCCTCCCCAAATTTAAAATGAAAGAATTTTTTTATAGCACACTTTAATCAAATGCTTAGTTTATGAAGCGTATCAGCTTGCATTGTAATGCATAATTGTTTTATTTCAACGGCACAATATAGTACGACATACATAAATTAATTATAATACATTAAAAGTAATTATAATAAATAAAAAGAAATTTTTGTTTAAACTATACTGAAAAAAAAAGTAAGAGGCACTATAACTATATGGAAATTTACAAAAACCATGAAGATGATATTTAACCACTTGCGCTATGACTACACGTCATGGTTGCGGTGCCGTGCGCTACAATATAACAAGCGGTAAAGTGTCTCATTTACGCTAGTCCACATCTGCAAGTGCAATCCAAAGCTGTAACTCGAGAAATAAGCAATCTCTGCACCACGTTATTTTCATTTTTGCTATAAATGCCTATCGACGTGGTGCTCACGTCGCTCGCGGTTTGAAACAAAAGCATCTCGACGTGTGTGGCACGTCTTTTTAGCGCAAATGATTAAATGGGTACATAAATTAAACAATATTTAAAGCATATGTTAACATTGATTTTAAGCTTAGAAATTTAAAAAAAACTAAACAAATCCAAACAAAACAATGAACCTCCTATATTAGACCATATTAGAATCATACATATTTTAACTGATAAAACATAAATCATTATACTCTACCAAAGTCATCTCAAATGTTAATTTGCTACATAATTAACCAAATGAAATATTATTGCAATCTCCTAGGAGGTGTCAATGAAAGAAAATTTATTGTTTATTTTATTTCACTCATTTACTTATTTGTTATTGGTGAAATATATGACAGAAATATTTTATTTGAAATATTCGGGATGCCATTTCTGTATGTTATTCATAAATCATCAAATTTTTCATCTATAAACAGAGCTCAAGGAACAAAGTATCATCATAATCTAAATTGATTTCTCAGTAGCTGGGATAATACCCAGAACAACGATCATGGTTAATCCAAAAAGGAAAAGAGGAATACCCAATTCTATAATTAATAGAAAAATGTAATTGACCTGTATTTTCAAGCAGTTTAAGAATATATTCATATGGTTACATAAAATAATCAGCATTCATAATAATAAAAAAAAAAAAAAAACATACTTCAAAATAAAAAAGAAGAATATTTTTACTTATGTTTCTCTCATAACAGAAATCAATGTAAGCAGGTGATTAATGACTATGCACTTGATTTACTCATAGGCTAGCACAATTTACTTTCAACAGGTGATTAAATAATATTTAGATATTACAGATCATATGCAGTTACAGTCTATGACAGAAATCTGCCTATCCACACTAAACAAATCCCCCCAGTGGTGGTGACCTGAACTAAAATTTGCAGTTAAAAAAAATAAATGTCTAAATGAAGAGGAAAACTACTACAGATTCTTAAATATTCTTTATTTGGGACTAACTTGTCCACAACTGGACCTCAAAATATATATATCTGGAGTTCTCATGGAATAAAATATTTCCATAAAAATGATTAACAAAGATTTTAAAAAATACACATTTGATTATTGGAAGGAATAAAATGCTACCCTAAGGGTATTAAAGATTCAATTATAGTGATGTTCCAGTATAAAATAGCATTAACATACATACAAACAAACAAGTAAAAGCTATCGAAATTTATCAAATAGCAACCTAATAAGACTGTATCTAATGCTCACCAAAAGTTTCAGAACTTGGTGTCATTCATTAGGCATGGAATGTTTTAGAAAAATGAATTATAAGCCTAGGCTTCTTTGCTGAAACCAATAGAGCTTAAAATTAGTCTTCTGACTTACATGACAATTAAGGCATTCAAAAATACAGAAAAAAAAAATGCATCTGTCCAAGAAATTAAACATCTAATTGAACTAGTCAATGTCAATGTCTAAAATTTATTTTACTGGAAGATTATTTTTGTTGTTCTTATTCCATGAACTATCTACAGTAGTTAAAAAGCTGTGGAAAATAAAAAGGAACAGCTTTATAATAACATATGGAAAGCAGGTAAATCAGCTATAATTATATTTGCCATTTATTTACTAACTTTGCAACAGATAAAAGATATGAAATATAATATTTTATAACTACACAATATTTTAACTTCCGTTTGTAATTGCTACAAAACAGTACATTCAAAATTTTAATTCCCAGATTTATTAGAAATATAAAATTTGAAATAAATTATAAGACATAAATAAATGAAGAAAACATTTTTTGATTGGTCAATAGTGCATGCATTGGTTCCTATAGCTGTTTCAAGAAGGTTAATTGATTAAATTTTATTAAAAAAGATAAAGCATTATTTATCCTAATTTTTCCTTTTACTGGCCTGAATAATTGTATTTTGTATTGAATTCTATCTATTCATAATTCTCAGATTGTTCAGAATCTATTTATTCATTCATACACATGTACATTAAAGGTTCATTTGATACTCATAAAAAGATCTCTGAGATATATCACATAATTTATTCAATTTACTCTAATAACATTATACATTTATAAAATTTTAATTTGCTTTATATTAAAAACAACGATGTGCATGTTAAAAAACAATACATGAACTTAAAGCATCATAATTTATGTTAACTCTTGAAAGTGTTTTACAGACCATTATTGAAGGAAAGTACAAAAATCCAAATATCAGTACTAAATGGAGTGACAGCTAAACCATACCTGGGTTCTCTATCTTTGTAGGCCAAATATACAGAAATGCTGTGAAAAATTACCTCTCCTAACATAAAAATACTAATATCTGATAAAGCAAATAATCAGTTTCATATATTGTGTCCTGGAATGAGCAGAAGGCAAAGCTACTTATCATTAACTAACCTCATTTATAAACTCTCATAGCTACATTGTTTGTTTCAAAAATGTAAAAAATCGACAAGATAATTTAAAGGAAGGTAAACATTTTGTGCAAATTATATTTTTCGGTAAGTATTCTCACCAATTAAAAACAATCGATCCAGATAATTAGAGTTCTGTGAAACATGGAATCCAAATTATCAATGTTTTTAAAGTTTAAAGAATTCAAAACTTCACAAGGCATTCACTATAATCCAGCACTTAATTTCTAAAATTAGAAGCACTAGACTAGTGCTTCTAATTCTGCACTTCCCTAGTGCTTCTAATTTCTAAAATCAGAAGCACTAGGGAAGACTGACAGGAAGGAAGAAAAAAAATAATAAAATAATTGGTTTAATTATTAAAATAATTAAACTAAAACTAAAAGAAATGTAAAGAGATAAATAGAAATTTAATAAATTATTAAAATTAATTATAAATAGTAAATAAAATATCAGACCTCATCTTATGGGCTCCGGCTAGAACTACAATTCCACTCAGAAAGATAAGAAGCAGTTCAGTTGAACTCTGTTTGAATTTAAGCACTCATTATACATAAAATGCACTATTTCAAGGGATGACAGATACAAAAAATATTCTTTTTTGCAGCACGCCAATGAAAACAATTAAACTGCCATTAAGGAGAATAGTGACAATTCTAGAAACAGTATGAGGATATGGAAGGAAATTTTAGCAGAAAAAATGTAGCTTTAAAAATAAAGAGAGAAGAGCAAGACTATATGATAATTATATCAGCAGGGTATTACTATCCCATTGATATAATTCTATCTGCCAAGTGAAAATTTTCCCTGAATATGATCCATTAACAGCGTGAGAATAAAAGCGACTCCTCTGAACTAATGACAGCGGTGGTCCCTTAAGTTGGGTCGCATATTTCAAAAAATCTGCTGGATGTCTGCAGTAGGAAGTCACTAATGTGGCATGTGCCCGACCAGGTACAGCTTTCAGTATTTTCAAGAACAAAAAATTTACTTGCTCTCATACATCATTGCACTTCCTGGAGCATAAGCTTTTAACATGTGAGTGGGGGCTTTACTTAAGTCTCAACCTCTGTCTAACAGGGTTCGTACACATTTCAGCACCTCAAAATTAAGTACTTTTAAAGACCATTAAATGGGAACTGAATAAATTCACTTAAAAAAATTATCTATGCCTGAACTTCACTTTTGTAATACCATCCTGAAAATAAAATAGATCTGTAAATAGAATGAATTATTATTAAACATGAATTAATTGACAAACATAATTGCTCAGTCTAGAAGTTTAGTAAATAGAAGGTAGATGTTATGTCAAGCTGTATAGATTAAAATGAGAAGTAAATTATAATCAGAATGATTCATAACAAAAGACTGGATGTTGTCACCGCTGCTGCTTGCCTCGAGAGAGACCTCCTGATTAGAACAAACCTGAAAGGCCTGATGTAAGCATGGATGGCAAGTTTTGAAAGTTAGTTTGGCTCTGTCTGATGCAGTTAGCGCTGTAGCTTCTTGTAGAGTTCAAGGGATTGTAACCCAGTTAATATACTTTAAGAGTCCACTAAAGCACCACAGGTGATAAGTTGTTTTGTATTATTTTAGGTCTCACTAGATGCAAAGAATAAGTTTTACATGAATTTTTACATTTTTGTGTTTTATCTTGTGACTATGGTAAGGATTAATGAAAGGCAATAACTCACTTAAATATGCAGAGATAATTTTTAAGGGTAAGCGGTTAGTTGTAAATAATTAAATTAGGTAGTTAAATAACCTTAGTCATTATGGATTTACATGGCCATTATTAAATTTGATTTATTTTTTAACAATATTTGTTAAAAAAGCCGTATTAAAATAAGAATCTAATAAAATTTGACAGTTTAAAATATAAGTAATTTATGAGATTGATTCTTATATTAAATATTAGGACACATTGAACTATATAAACGATATAGAATAATTACACATGATATTAGGATAATCTCATATTAAAAGCTAAATATATCATCATGTTTTCGTCTAAAAGTTTGTAGCCTGGACTGAATAAAATAGCCATTCAATCAAGCCCTCACTAATGAATGAAAATATTATTAGCCATAGACTGATTTTTCTGGCTGTTCTTATTATTGAATCCTATTAGTATTTCAAAATTTCTCATATACTTATGCAAGCATTATTCCTCATTCAGCTTCCCCTTCCCTTAGAATCTGCAATGAGTTTTAGCTGCATTTCGAATTACAACTTGATGAAATCTACTAGACAAAAAAAATTTCACATTTTATATGAGCACTAACTTCATTAGACCAATGGTCTCCAAACTCAGTTTACTCAATGAATGCATAAAACTGTTAACCTTTTGAAGACAGGATGGCCATTATAGTGGCCATAGAGTCCTCTCTTTGAAAAGACAGGGTTGTCCACTTTAGTGGCCATGTCTTTTTCCCCCATTTTCCAGGCTGAAAAGTGAGGTGAAATGTCAAATATGACATCCCTGGGGTTTTATCCACTTATCTCTTTCAAAGGCCTTCCTTTTGCGACATAGATGCACCCATCTGAGAATCCATTAAGCTACAAACCAGAATCTTTGTTGAAAATAGGAGGTGATTTCTTAAAGGGGGGAAAGCATTCGGTTCAAGATTCGACATCCTTTGGTAGCTTTTACTGCTACCAAAGCCCCGGCTTCAAAAGGTTAATATTTTTAAGAGCCCTTACCCATCCTGGGGAAAAAGTAAATGCTAAAAAGACATTGAAAAAATATATTGACACTGTGTGCAATTTATGAAGAAAATAATAAGAAAATAATTGTTCGATTACAATTTTAATCATAAAAACAAATCTTCATTTATTTTAGGTAACAGTAACAACAAAGATAAAAATATTATTTACTTAACGGTTTTAAATGTTTAGTTTTGCAGTTCACATAAGTATTTACCACAAATTCTTTCTAATTTTGAATTAAAGATTATGACCTAAGAGGTTATATGCACATTACACACAAAGGAATGAATATAACCAAGGGCAACTTTGACATATATGAAAACTTTTTCTTTGATCCTAATTTACATTTTTCAGAACTTATTTAAAATAGCTTGCTATAGGTCAACACCAAAGTACTAAATCTGCCCTTTTTGCTATTTTTACACACTTCTATTTTTTGCATTATTTTTTAGTGGTTTACACAAGAAAGAGATGCATGAATATATGAGACTTATTATAAAGAAGTTCTAACTCAGTTTTTCTGAAAAACCAAGTACATGTTAAATATTTAAATGTACTTTTCTCAAAGGAGCAGTTTACAGGTTCATGAGTTGAGTGTAGGGTGATAACATGGAATTCAGTTTTGTTTTCAAATTGCATCTTACAGTTTCTACAATAGCCATATAATACAATTAATAAGTTTTTCACAGTCAGTCACATTTATATATTAACTAATTAAAAACTAAACTGAAATTAAGCAACACAAAAATTCAATATTAAGCATCAGTGACTTAATTTTACAAAGTAAAGAAATAATTCTGAAGTTTGAACATTTCATAAAATAATATTACAATAAAAAAATTAATTACTGGTTATTAACTGTGTACAACTTCTTATGTTTTAAAAAGCAAAATATTTACTTTAACAAACTTTTAACTCGCACAATTATATGCTGACATTTTCATGACGAAGCAAATGCTTTTTCAAAGTATACTTTCTAGTGAATTCACAAAAGCATATTTGACATTTGTGAGGTTTCTCTTTGGTATGAGTACACATGTGGTATTCTAAACTAACTTTATGGTTAAAAGTTTTCGAACACAAATGGCAAGCAAAAGGACGTTCCTGTGTATGAACTCTTCCATGCCTTTTCCAGTTCGATGAATCATTTGTTGAGTAAGAACAAAAACTGCACCGGTAATGTCGAAAATGAGAAGAATTTTGATGCCACAGTACAGGAACTAAAAATAAAATAAATATTTTACACTAATCTTATTACAAATAACTTTCTACATAAATTTTACACCAAAATTTCAAAATATAACTTAAATTGTTAAAATTACAGCTATGAAATCAAAAGTACTACCTAAAAATTCATTATTGAAAAACAGGCAAATAACTAATACAACTTTCAACATTTTATTTATTAAGTAATGTTTTAACAAGTTTCACTTACATTCCTAAAAAGTTACCCAATATATATTATCACTACATAAATTATCACCACATAAAAATATGAAGTGTATCAATATCTTGTGTTCATTCTTTTAGCATAAAGCGTTTGTTAATAAACTGTAGTTGCTAAGACCAAGTAATCAAGCTAATGAAGTCATAAGCAGAGTATAAAAGACACATCAATACCAAAAATTAAAATGAGCAGAAGAACTAAGATTAGAAAATATAGCAGTAATCTAAAAACTTTAAATAACAATCACCAGTATCTGTCACCACTAAAAGTTCCAAAAACTATAAAAATATTAAAAGAATTTAATAAAGAAATTTTAAAGTACAATTTGATCTTTATATTTTTAAATTCTAGATTAACATGCAAAACAGATTTAAACTAAATAGTAATAAATGGTCTGCTAGTTTAAGAATTAATCCCCAGAAATTCAAGACAAAGAACATAAAATCATACAATTAATACCAGCTATTGACAAAGCAATGTCAAATGATAGAAAAAATGTTTGCTACATGTAATTCCATCACCATATGGAGAAATTTGCTCTTCTTGAATAATTAAAAGACCTAATTAGTCAAGAAGTAGCTCTGCACTGAATCCACTGCATAATGGATCTTTTGCACAGGAAGTTTGCAACAAATATTTCCTGCAACTGAAGTCCAGCACCTAATTTGTTAGGATATTAAATACAGTCAAAAGTCGTTAATTCGGACACCCATAATCCGGAATGATCTATAATCCGGACCTCAAAGCTAAGATCTTTCTGCGCATGTGCTGCATTGACGCATGCGCATAGGCTTTTACGCGTGCGCATAAGACCTTTACGACTGCGCATATGCGTCTGCGCAAGCGCAGAATACGTTTTCGAGTGCGCGTTTAATGTATAACGAATGGTATAAGCTAAAATTATATAATTATCTATTTCAGTTAATGTTGATGATTGCGTTGTTCCTTAATCTTTGAATTGGATCCGGCTTATTATTTTTTGCAGACTGTAAGAGCAATTTTCTAAAAGTAAGCTTGAACTTTCGATTATGTCAAATAGAATTTCCGATGCTGGAGCTCCCAAAGGATCTAGAAAACAAAAGTATGTTTCGATGTCCATCAAACAAAAAGTGGAATTGCTACAAAAATGGGTAAATCCTTTGTTTATCTAACCGTTCCGAAATCTGTTTATCAATTTCAAGCTGCTCTGCGCGGGCGGGGGGACGTCGTGGCGCGCAATGAACTGGAAGTTGATCTGCCAGCACTATCGTTATCTTCAGGGCAGATGTTTTTATTTTATTCGGCTTATAATTCCTTACTAAATGTAGTATTTCATCTCGATGTACTCCGTCTTTGATACGATTTAAATCAAATTCCTCGTCATTATAAAAATCACGAATACAAATCAAATAGTTTTCTAATTGCAATTTTCTAATTTCGGCTATGCGTAATGTATGCTTTATGCATGTGCGCGTTGAAAGAAATATTTAATAAAGTAAACAAATAAATATTAAGCTTCTTTTTCTGTAAATTTTGATACCCTTTAGATCATAATTGCTCATTATTTTATAAATTACGGTTTCATATTTTTAATTTTATAATTTCTGCATGCCATCTTATCAGATTTAAACTGATGATATAAAATCCGGAAAAATCGATAATCCGGAATCGCCGAAGTCCCGACGAGTCCGGATTAAAGACTTTTGACTGTAAAATATTAGAAACCTTGCCACCTTTTCTGACACATTAATTAAAAAAAAAAAAAAGAAGAAAGGCCCCCCCCCTAAAAAATCCTTAAGCTGAAGCAAGTATTATTAAAATAGTATACAAAATTCTACTGAGTTTTAACTCAAAATTCTACCAACATAGATATATATTCGGTACTGTTCTATTAACAAGGTTACATTGCCTAATACAAACACAAATGCAAAATCTAACTAAACCTTATGATACATAAACATTCACGAAAGAATGCCTATCTTATTAAATCCAGAATACATACAAAATCAAAGACAGCAAAAGAAGTACAAAATAGATTTTACCAGATTATTTTCAAATTAAAACAGAAGGCATAAAACTTTTGATTTCATTTAACATTGCCAAAAACATTTGAATCTTTCCACACAATTGCCAACATATGAATTCGATGAGGTAGGAATTTATAGATAAAGAGAGTGTTGTGCTGATTTTTATTTCATTATTTTATGCATGGCATCCTGTATCAGAATCAACAATATAATACATGTCATTAACTTGTAGGTGCTCACATTCAGAAACTGTCAATTCTTCCTCTTAGAGCAAATGAAAATCTCGAACAACAAATGCCTCGATTGAAGTCTATTCTTCCTGATGATGGCATTCACACAATGATGTCACTGCACAGCTATGTTATATAAACAGGTGATCACATTTGGCAACTGGTACTCTGTTAACAGAAAAAAGTTCCCCCCCCTTCTTCAAATAGAATTCATATCATAAGAAATGAAACCCTTCATTAAAATATTTCTTGAATTCAAAGAGAAAAAAGTTATCTTGATCAAGAATTATACATGCTTTATATAGCTGTAATAGGTTTTAGCTTTTCTGTCACTCTTAATGTTTTTGTAATCTGTATGTAATATGTTAATTATTCTTTTGAAATTCTTTTAGCCTAATGAACCATCTAACGATTTATTTTGACCCACCTGCATATTATAATAGTATATTGCAATCCACATGTCTATAGCTTTTCTGAAAAAAAGTTGAGGGTGAATGATTCCCAGAAGAAAATGATGTTACAGTGAAATAATAATAAATAAACTTATATTTCTATTAAAAATTAACAGATAATTATAAACTAATTTATAATTACAAGTAGACGTATGCAATTTTAGAGTAAGAAACACAATCCTTCAAAAGTTTCATAACCTATTAAAAATTATTTTCCAATCCCCTCATGGATAGCTTTTTGGGAGTCACTGTGCTAATTCAATTGATTGAAATATTTAATAACTTTTCCACACCATTTTATATTACAGAAAGAACAATTTTTATGATGTTGGAAAGCAAACACTAATTGTTGAACATTTAGGTAGATATCAACAGATGTTCAGAAAAGCTTAATATTCAAATACCAAATAAGTAAACTAAAATATTTAAGCTTCTTATAAGCAAATTTTTAAAGTTAAATCTATTTCAATTTAAGTGAAATGTAATATTACAACTTCTAAAATAAACTATATTTATCTTCTAATGTTATATAGAACATACATTACACTAAAGCAGGGTTTCTTAAACTGTGGGTTGCCAAAAATTTTAGCATGGCATTTCTTTAACTTATTATAATAATTTTACAATTACCAAATATTTTTACAGGGTGTAACTGAAAATAAATAAAGATAAGACAATACAGACAAAGAAAAAAAACGAAAACGTTTTGACACTTTCTTTTTATAATATAAACACTCATTTTCCTTGCTTTGCACGTGCTGTCATTTCGTCCGTTACTTATTTAAAAATTTCACATTGTTCTATGTCTTAAAATTAGAAATTAAAGTTATTGACCTAAAACTGTAATAGTATATTACAGTACAAGTGAAAAAATTTACAGTTTCACTCACGTGTGTGTCGGATTTGCACAATACTTATGGGGTCCCACAAAATTTTTGTAAAGAGTATGAGGTCCTGGGGTGTCACGAAAAAATCTCTGTGATAAAAAGGGATTGCGACTGAAAAAAGTTTAAGAAACCCTGTACAAAAGGATTAAAATTTAACCTTTGATTTATGGTGTTAGAAGAATTTCTCTTAAAATACCAAGTTAGCCATATTAAGCATTAACTAATACACAGGAAATTCATAAAATTGTATATACAACTTTTCTTTTAATAGTACTTTTGCACCACACCAACTAATTAATTCTATTAATGAATATTGCCTACATAACTGCTGAATAAAAACAGTTATGGATTTATAATGTTGCAGTACTTTACATGAGTATGTAGGTGATTATATGATTACAGAAAAAGAGTTTTAAGAAGATAAATTTTGGAAAGCATTCCTTTTAAAAGAATGAAAGAGATATATAAGAATGAAATATAAGAATGAAACACACTATTTATTTTATTTTTTAAAGCAATGATACATTATGTAAACAGCTGATATAGTATAAAATTATACAAGGATGATCGCATTTTAACTGCTTAAAAAGGAAATAGATTTAGAAATAAATAGAAAAAGACATTTAAAATTAATCTTCCTTATAACAACTACTACTAGGATTTTTTAGGTTAATTGATTTTAATATGTAATTTATGATGAATGATTTACAAAGGGGGGGGAACTACATGAATCTCAAATCTAACTGCAGTGTATCTCAAATCTAACTGCAGTGTATATATACAGCATTTATAATGTAATATAAAATCAAATAAAACATATGTTTGAAATTCATCCCATATTGAATTCAGAATAAACCACATATGATTTATTCCAAACTGAATATGGGATGAATTTTAAACGCATTTATTATTTTCACTTTATTTTGCATTATCAATAGCACTTGCTGCATGGAATTGGACAAGGTTTTGAACAGTTTTTAACTCTGTATTTATCCTTTTTTACAGTAATTATAAATATATAGTATGTGATATATACATACATATACATTTAGTATTTTAAAATGTACATACAGTAAAATTCATCTCATATATTTTAAATTTAAAATCATCTTAAAACCACTTGATTGAGAGATAAATTGCGTGAAAAAAGTTATACGGATTAATAGAATATCAAAAATTATATAATAAATAAAATAACTTGCAAATAATGATTAAAAGTATGGTAAAACTATTTGTACAGTTTTAACCTTGATATGATAAATGAACATTCACTACATTATTTAAAACAAATTTTAATTAGAAAATGTTTACAATGCAATGAATTTCATTATAAACTATAGGAAATAAATATTTCAACACAAAGACTAATTAAAGCTAAAAATATAAAATACACATATTTACTTAAGTAACATGAATTGAAAAACATATTTCAATAGAAAAAATACTATTTGTAGATAAGGAAGCTTAAAATATCAAATTATCAACATGTGTACTAATTGCCTCTTTCTACACTTGTACATTAATATAAAATATTAAATATAAAAGTAAAATAATCAAAAAATATATCAGTTGTTTTACATTTATATACACTTTAAATGCAAAGAATTAAGTGCATTAAATCAATAAAGATTTATATAATTAGTAAAAAAAGATTTATATACATGGAAACAAACTTTTTTTCGTAACAAATTTAAAATGTAACAACAGATTCATTCAAGATACAAACATAAATCATGAAATTATATTTCTCATTATGTAATTACATAAATCAATAAGTGGTTAGTATAAGAAAACCTTGTTTAACATGAAGATTTAACTCTAATCACACATGGCTTTCAATAAGGGCAGTTGGAGTTTTCAGGAAATTTGTCTGAGGCATAGTACTTGTGACACGTATTAATAGTTTAAAAAACTGACAAAACATTAATCATAACTGCAGGATTCCTGAAGCATACAGCAATGACACTAAAAAAAATCCATAATTTATTTAAATAAAAGATGAACATCTTAAGCTCATCATTTTAATGCCATTTCCATTTACTCTTCTCAAATTCATAGCATTTGATTTTTACATTCCGGAATAAATTTTGAATTTCCATGTCTTGTCATCAGAATACCTTCAAAACTGTGCCACAACAAGATACAGGCACCTTTGTGAAGAATTTTTTTTTCAAATCAAAAACTAAATTTAATCAGCATCTGCCATGAAGGTTGTTTTAAAGTTAAAAGCTGAATATCAAAGTAGCTGTTATACATAATTACAAAGTGGTCATGCAAATACGAGTTAGTTTCCCTCTGAAAGTCTTTCATGAACGCATCCCTCCCTTTTAGGCAAACACGCCTTGTGAACCTTGTTACAGTCAACTAAACAAACAAAAGTGGTAATAAATCTTTGCAATTACAATTTAGATACAAAATTAGGGTATGTATTTTGGACAGACTTTTTTTTGATCTTTTACAGTAGAATTCACTCAAAGGAAAATAAAACAAGGATTAAAGAAGGACTCTTTGAACGAAAAAGCTAAAACACAGAATCTACTTTTGTGGCTTCTATTTTAGGCAAATTCACATAATCTATATAAGAAACCTTACGCGGAGTCACATTATTTAAATTACAAACTTGAAATCTTTCATGCAAAATGGCTGTGCGAAATAAATACAGTCCTGTTTGGAGGCATATATGCTAATGAACTGTGAAACAAATTTATGAATAGCAAATGAGAATATAATTAATTTCTTAGACAAAGTAAATGAAATTTTCTCTAAAAAAATTATTATAATAAAAATTTTTATTTAGTTTTTATTATTTTACCTTTATGTTTTTTTTATTTGCAATCAAGGATATTTTAAAAAATTTAACATTTTAATTTCTTTTTGTTGTTTTATTTTATTATATTACATTACACTGAATATTCTGTTATATGACATAACATTTACTATAATTTAAAATGCAGCAAGTGATTGAGATATGCATCTACATTAATAAATTACTTTTTTAAATTGGAAATAAATACATTATTTTATGTTCTTGAAAAGTCACATCACTTTACATCACATCATACTGCATCATTTTTACATCTAGTACCATAATTGCATTATAGCAATTTATGTTCTTGATGTTTACCATGTGTTCAGCAATAAATTTAGATCTTTTGAATATTCTTCTTCTGAAATACTAATCAGATTACTTTGGTATCATATTTTCTTTATTTCATAAGTTAGTTTGTTTTGTTTACATTTTTATTATGCATATGCTTGAACTGTTCTTAATATTTGAATATTATTACAAAATATAGCTATTCAACCTTTTTAAACTTTTTTTATACATACTGTTGTCTGATTATCAGTAACTTCAAATTTAAAAATTTGAAATACCATTGAGCTAATTCCCCATGACAATCAGGCTAACCCAATCTTGCCTTTGGGTTTGGCCCAAAACCCAAAGTTCCTGAAAATGCAATGAAAGAAACTTATTTTCTAGATTACTGTCCAAAATGCTACTTTCATTGAATAAACACAATAAACAATAGAAACAATTATAATTTATCAATCACTTAGCATAAAACATTTATAAAATGACATGGCAAATCAGGCATATAGAAAGGATAAATGCCACTAGAGGGCGCTAGAGCCACAAAAGGACACTGCTATACAAAAAACTAGCTGAACAACTAGAGACTGTCCTTATTCAAGCTAGGAATGGACTGGGAGTAACATGGCTAGTTACACATACCACGAAATAGTCCAAGAACTGGAGCCTAATCCTTCATATATGAGTTGTATCCCAAGATACTCATATCCCCCAACCTAGCATATCCAGGCAATGGAACTGGAAGACTACAACAGGCACATGGAATTTGCATGGTGGTTTTTGCAAGAAAATGCTGCAAACCAAAACTTTACAGCAAGTGTTCTTTTCACTGATGAGGCTATGTTCTCACTACAGTGTGTGATGAACATTCATAACTTGCATATTTGGGCAGATGAAAACCCACATACTACACATATGCATTCCTCGCAATGCAAATTTACCCTCAACATGTAGGAGACTGTTTACTTGATCTGTGCATTCTCCCAGAAAGACTTGATGATTGCACTTATCTTGCATTCTTGCAAGAGGTTCTGCCAGGCAAGCTGACTGATGATCTCATTCAGCAGACATGTCAGACATCTGTAGGCTACTTTTCCTGGACACTGGATTGGTTGCAGTGGACCAATCATATGGCCACCACGATCACCAGATCTGTCTCCAACTGATTTTTTTTCCTTCTAGGTTTTTTTAAAAGGACTTGCATATGAAAAACCTGTTTCATTGCCAAAAGATTTAGTGGGAACAATTTTTGGAAGCAGGATATGTTCAAGATACACCTAGTATCATTGAGAAGGAGTGCTGTTCAATGCAGTGTCGTTGATAGGCATGTCTCGATGCATCAGGAAAAAAACTTCTTGAGCATCTCCTGTAGTGATCATACATTTGTAGCATGTGACTAATAAATGATCTGGAATGTTTTTGTTTCTTGTCTTTGCACTATGTATTATTTTAAATGCCCTCTAGTGGCTCTGGATAGCATTTGCAACCCTATGTTATTATGTGATTTTTTTATCCTTGTTGTATGCCTGATTTGCCATGTCATTTTCTAAACCTTTTTTTTTAATCATCCTATATAATACCCGATAAAATAGCATTTGTAATAAAAATCAATTGTTTAAAACATTTGAATGAACCACATTAAAATGAAGCCACATTTGCATAACATGTGACTTTCTAAATGTTACCATACAATTTGCAATAGTTGCTCTCTGCCTTATCAAGATTCTACCAAAAGCAGACTTCAAAATTTCATGCCCTATAAGAACAAAATTAAACAAAAAATTAGTTAGTAAGCTCATGGTGAATGAAAAATAATTAAAGTTCTTTTATAATTAACTACTTACTCTGAAGTCTAGTTTAAGTTGAAAACTAGAGGACTGCAGAATTCAAATATATATATATTTAAGGCAGGATAACCATTATATTGGCCATAATATTCCACGTTTGAAAGGACCACTTTAGTGGTCAGGCCTTTTTCCCCATTTTCCAAGATGAAAAGGTGAAGTGAACTAAGTTTGATGCCCCTAAAAACTTAACACTTATCTCTTTCTTAAATGCTTGTATCAAGGATTAAGTTTTTCCTACTTTACCTTTTTATCCTTGCAATTTCAAAATTTGGAATGACCACAATCATAAATTGCAAATACAGCAATTACCTTGCACTACTTTGGAATATTCAATATTTTAGCAAGATTTCTTTAATTTTTACAGCAATATGCCAAAATGCAAAAGAGAATTGACGAAGAAATAAGAAAACTTCAACAAGAGTTTGCAAAGTTCTAAATTATGTAACATTATAAAAAACACAGAATAATATTTCAAGATGCTCAAGGCAGCAACTTTTTATGTTGCAACTTGCTTCCAATTCCTTCAAAATCTGCATACACCAGACAATTTTTCCATTCTGATATGGAAGATACTTGCTATAAAAAAAAAAAAAAACTGTTGTAATTTTGATAATATAGTAAAACCCGTTATCTTATTAAAGATGTGAAATTAGTAAAAAGAAATTTATAATATTGTGATTTTCAGTGTGGTTTTGTACTATTAAATAAATTAATATTTTAGTGAATTAAATTTCTTCTATTATTATTAGAAATAATATTACTTGCTTATTTTAAATAAACAATGTAAAATGCTAATTGTTCAAATTATCATTGTTTTCTAATTTTTAAAACTAAAATTATTACATTTGTTTAGTATCCATTTACAGAAAACAGTTTCATAACTTCTGTTTCACTGTTTTATTTTTCTCCTATTTTTTAAACTGAAAATAAATTAGAAGCACATTACAGTATGAATAATGGTACACAGGTACAGGTAAAACAAAGTCATTTTTAATTAAATATCACATTTCTAATTTCTTGATAATTTTTTCCCATAAGCACTATGTTTTCAGGCAAATTTATAACATTTATTAGACTTAAAATTTTTATTTTTCTGCAAAGTTTAAATTTCAACTTACCCATATCATTTCTGTAACTCTTATTTTTTAACCATTACTTCCATAGAAAAAAAAAAAAAAAAATTACCATTTTGGATATTTGTCATAACATATACAGGAAAACAACTTAAAAAATTACAGGGAAAGTTGATATCATGTAACCTTTCTGCATACTTCAACATCTGAGTGGTGTTTTTTTGGCTTATCAAACTGTGAATTTTTCTAAATTCAAGCAAATGAGTTCATAAAATCTATGAAAGAAATTCATTTGTATTATAGAAAATGAAATGGAGATCTGATAAATCTAACAGACTAAAAGTATCTACAAAATAGTGAGGAGTTAAACTTAAAATAAAAATAGAATTAATTCTTCTTAACACTTTATAAAGAGTCATATATTAGTCAAGTAAATTAAAATCATTTAGAAATTCACAATTTAAAAAAAAAAAAAGAAAAAGAAAGAAAGCTATGTGCTATAATATGTAGGAATAGAATGACCTTTCCTGTAATGGATAAACACATTCTCTTCTGCATCTCACTGAGCAGTCAGCCTAATTTGGAATCAGTTGCAACTTTAAATTTTCCCTCCAAAAGGAATAGCATTTGCAGTTTAGTCAATAATCCCCATGTTTTCCTTCCTTTTATGAAATAAATGCACCCCTCTAAGCATGAAACAGACTACTTACAACAGCCATTGTTACAAACAGCAAGGAACTTCCTGAATAGGAAAAACCATTAGATGTAACAAATGCCATCTTTTTATATACCTTAAGGTGTTTGAGCCCTGAGATCAAGAGGTTAATAAGAAAGGTAAATGGAAGTCCTAGAGAACTCATTTTTTCATTTATCACTGCAAGAAAAAGGATTTAAATTATTTATTCAAATCTGATGTATGTTATCTTACTTCAGATATACACTGCTTGACAATGCGAATACAACACCTTGAAAATTTTGCTATAACATTACAAAAGTTACAAGAAATACATAGTTCCATGATCTATAAAAATGACCTAAAATATCAAGTTAGCCATATGATTAGTAAGCCCGATAAAAGGGAAGAAAAAGTCAAACATTTGTCTCCTTCTCCCACCTCAAGTAAACACATTTTTTAGCTGTTTTCCCTTTCAGAATAAATACTAAATTACTTTTAATTGATACTAAGAGATGTCTGGTAAAGTGTTGCTATGAAATGTTTTGTACTTAGATATTGCCTTGCAGAACTGTGGAAGTTTGCTACCATTAAACCATGAAAGATGGTGGAAATCCCAGCAAAGCTGCATAAATCATTCCTCCAGAATTTTGAGCTACACTTTTAATTGCAGCTCCTACAATAAAACACTTACCACTATCTCTGTGCAATCCAATAAAAAGCCACTGCTGCAGAAGTATTCGACTTGCTCGTTTTTGTACTTTTAAAGGCTTTCGCCAATTTCTACTTTGTTAGGCCCTCTGATTTTACTGAAAGTTCTGCTCAGAACCCTATGAGTACAAACTTCCAGCAAGTCATTGTTCCAAACTATTTCTATTTTTTCAGCCATATCCAGCTGTTCTTTTTACCATTTAACAGATGTTTATTCTCTCAACCAGCTGTAAATTAACCAGACTGCAGTCACAAATGTGATTCTAGAGCTGCTGAACTAATTTTTTTAAGTTAAGTTTAATGTTTTGATTATCATTTCCATAATATCAGTCACTTGCAAATTTTTGGCCCCTTTGCTTTTTGATAAATAATGCAATATCTATCAAAAAGCATAAAGGGTGTTCTGAAACTTTTCTTCTTTCACTATATTTCTTTATTTTACTGCTAGTCCCTTTCTTTCACCAACCACAGCAGCTGCACCATCGCTTTCAAATCCAACCATTTTTATGCCAACTTAATTTATATTTACGTATTACATTTTTTATTTCAGAAAAAATATTCTGTGCAACGAGTTTTCCTTTCATAAGAATTATTTCCAATAATTCCTCAATTACTTGAAATTCATCAGTGACACTTTGCAGGAAAATTGCCAAGGAGTACTGTGTCTATGATGTCAGTACTTTCATCAACTGCTTTTAAGAATAGAATAAAATCTTATAACTTTTTCATTTACTTGACAACATAAATCACTAGCAATTTCATTAATATATTCTGCTAATGTGTTGGCTGAAAAAATAATATTTTTGAATAACTTGTTTTTGTCAGAGTAAAGGTTCCGCAGATTTAATCAAACAATCTTTAACAAATTTACAATCACTAAATAGCTTTCATTTTTTTGCAATAATGTGCACAAGAACAAAGCTTTGACCTTCTATCAACTTTTGCTTCATTGAATTTATTTGTTTAAAAAATGTTATTATCATAAGCAAGATCTTAGAAAGTGGAACTCTTCTTCTTTCAGTTTATTTTCTAATATTTCCAATTTTTTGTTATGATTCATTTTGGAATGACAACATTAGTTACATGCTTTTGGAATTTACATTCCTCCCTTGTAACTAGAATTTAATTTCAGGGAGGTCTGCAGCCCCTTCAGCTCTCCTATAACACGGCCATGCTTCAATACATATGAAATGCACAATTTTATTGCATACATCACCACAAGAGTACATGATTTTCCATTATCTGAAAAATGTGTGCTTCATGAGCCCCTTTTCTTTTACCCTTTGTTAAAGATATTGCTCACAGTATGATTTCTTCATTAAAATCACAGTTATTTTACTTACAACTTTAATTCAATAAGATGAATTTTTAATACTCAAATATTTTGCACAACTTCAAATGATTGGTAGTGATGTAACATAGATCTGATGACAAGCACAAATAACAGATTTTACAATCCACGTTAATTTGTCTCCATCTGTTTAGCAATATGAATTGTAGAGCTCTGCATCCAGCTTACCAGAATACAAAAGTTCTACCACCTCCCCAGTAAAGTGGTGTTTGCAACACCAGGGTGCCTAGGCCAGAGGCCTTACCCCTTGTAGAACATTCTGATTCCATTTAACATTGTATTCTCAAATAGCCTTTCAATAAAAGCATATAAGCAAATTTCAAAATAAAGATGAATTAAGTGATTTTTTTTTTTTTTTTTTTTTAAATTTTTAATAGGTTTTTTGGGTATTGCTGTTAAGGTGAAAGCCCAGAGAAGCTGTCGAGCCGTGACTACAGTATGACAAGGTAAGTGAGCAAGTTAATAGTCTGGATTCATATAATATACACAATACATGAAAAACAAACATGATACATAATACATGAAAGAGTAATAGTACACAAGAAGTTAACAAATATGAAAAAGTAAGATAACATACATCACAACAGAGGCAGGTACAAGGTGAGAAAAATAAACATAATGCAGGCGTAGGAGTGAGAGTGGGTTACATAATGTACACATTGAGCTGAGCGAGTGGACGGTCAATATTTGCAAAATCATTGTAATCGTAATCACATACTTTAATACAGGGATTGTCCATAATCTGCTGCCTATTGTGGAACCTTTTTGCAAGCCTGTAGTAAAATGATCTGAGCTGCTCCGTGCCCAGCTCTTCATGTATTCGATTATTCCGAATATACCACTCTGCATTGGTGATTTGCCTTAATACAATATTCTGGCAAGCCTGCAGCCTGCCTCTGTTTGTCTTATGTGTGTGGGCCCAGATGTAATGGTCTGAGAATGGACTTATAAATAAATAACTTGTTGCTATAGATAACACACTGTTCCGAGCAATTAAGGGGTTGAGTTGCACTTTACGAACCCAGAACCTTTGGATAATAGAAGTGATGTGTGGGGACCATGTAAGAGTATTGTTGAGGATCACCCCTAGATAAAGGACTT